ATCAGTGAGTCTTGGCTGCAAAGGAACATGTAAAGACTAAATTTTCACTGAAAGGTAAAAGGAAAAACATAACATCTATCATTGAGTGAAGGGGGAAAGTGTGATCCAAGTTTAAGGATAATCTTGTCTTGGCCTGCCATCTGCATCGGCGAGACAGGAAGAAGACTGGGTGTTTCGGGGAAAATGTCAGAGCAGTGAAGATAAAAGATCTTCCAAAGACAGTAGTTCCCCATTCCTCCCCTCCCAGCCTCAATTTCTCTCTGTCTGTGTCCTTTGACAAGAATTCCAGGACTCTTATTCCAGACAGATACAAGAAGCCAAGATGATCTTTAAATCTTATCACCAGGGTCAATTCTCTCAGTCTTTGGATCGTGTCCAGAAGTCCCTACAAGTCTTTTGGACTGTGGGAGAAACTCGTGTCTACATTGACACAAGCTCATCATACCACATGTTCCTAAAATCAAATGTTTTTAAAAATATAGCTTATAGTATGCACTTCTGATTTAATGTAGCACTTAAAATCCCAGTCATCTCACGTGTGTTATCCTGTGTGTATCAAGAACTATGTTCTTTACAAAATACCCAAGAGTGTGTTTACGCCTGTATGAGCCCCTGCGATGGACAGACCTCCCATCCAGAGTGCATCCTGCCTTGCTCCTCTTTCTCCAACTCCCCCATGACCCTGTATAGAATAAAAAGGTTAGGGAATTGGTGAATGGGTGGATAGATATATTACTATACTATATATTGATATACTATACTATTAATAATAAATCAAGGAATTTCCCGAAACTAAAATTCAGAGAAAATTATTCTGCAATGGCTTGTAATGTGATGACTAGCTAGCTACTGATCATATGTACTTTGAAATAAAATTAATGTTTAAATTCAAGTACAAGATCTTAATTCAACAATAAAACATGATCTCATAATACTATACCATACCTTAATGCTGATTAAGCAGTTTACCTTTTTATGTACAATGTTCACTGTAAATTTACTGTAAAAAATGCTGTATTCTCTAATCTCATCCTTTCCTCCAAGGACCTGTAAAACTGGAGCAAAATAATTTAAGAATAACGCACTGCTTTCTGGGAATAAGCTCTTTCTCAGACAGCAGTGACTCCTCTGGCACTTGTTAAATTCAAAGAACCCTATCTTCCTGGCTTTATTGCATTGATTACAATCCTAATAGCCAATGCAATTAAACCAATAAGAATGAAATGAGTTGTTGAACAGCACAGATTCAGTATTTGCTACAAATCAGGGCAAAACCCTGCACTCAGACATTTGCTAATTCATGAACACTTACATCAACAGAAATCTTGCAGATCTGAATAATTCAATACCTCAGACCTTTCCTCAAGAGAGTATTTAATTCGATCAGGGCTGTCAGTGGATAAAAAGTATTTCTATTGCCCTTTAATCTGAAATATGCAAATACATTTTAAGTGATGCTGTGCCCACTATCCTGACTGATTCCACTCCATGAGGTAATGACATTACAGACATTACATGAAAGCACTGAACATTTGTGGAGTGGAACTCTGCAGTACCCATTTACTGCAATAACAGTAAAAGACATATTTTCATTATGATGTAATATGATAATAAGTTGTTTACAGTATTTCTGATACTTTAAAAAATCTATTTCTAAAGGCTTTTTTGCAATTACTAGTAAATAAAATGAGGACTTTTATTTCTAACACAACACATTTTGTCTGATCTGAACTCCTACATGATTTATTTTCATCCTGCAATCTCTAGCCTGTAGGCTCTTGGGTATTTTGTAAAGAACATAGTTCTTGATACACACAGGATAACACACGACTGACTGACGATGACTGGGATTTTAAGTGCTACATTAAATCAGAAGTGCATACTATAAGCTATATTTTTAAAAACATTTGATTTTAGGAACATGTGGTATGATGAGCTTGTGTCAATGTAGACACGAGTTATGTTCTACTTATTTGAACATTACAGTGAAATTAATTTTAATATTTGTGAGACATATTCCTAATTTATTTGTACACTTTGTGGAAGAGTTTTTAAAACTGAGAAAAGGTGTCACATTTTACCCTCAGTGTTTTGGGAGTGAGAAACCTCATATGCTGTAGGCCATGTTGTAGAAGCTGATACCCTGGCTTCTTTCTAGAAAAGGTGATGAGATCCTCAGGCTGGTTGATCTATTAGCTTCTGGCAATAAAATGAGCTTGATGGACTGAATTTCCTCTCCTTGTTTGTAACCATTCTAAAGCTCTTATTTGTTTTAATGTACCTATATTCATTAGCTGTTATTGTTGGATTTTATTTTTATCCTCATCAAAAAGTAAATACTGAAAAATGTAAGACTTTAAAAATCTTTCAAGATAAAATCTTTATATATCTATATTTACTGTACATGGGCATGATTTATTCTTAGGGTTCAAATTCAGATACTGCTGATAATTTTAGTACTGTCCCAGAGCAGTTAAAATGGGTAACAGTATGGAAAGAAGGAATCTTACCAACCTGTTTCAACTGAGTACAAAGCTCCCTCAAAACTTACCTGGAACAGCTTTTCCTGACTCCATAAGCTTATTTACTTATTTTGGATGGAGTTTCTGGTAGAGGGGGAATACAGGCCTGTCCACAGCTCCAGCTCCTCTCCACAGTTCATCAGGTTTCTTGTTTTGATTTACATAATATGTTTAGTTTCAACCTCCTGTAACCTAAAGTTTGCTCTTCTTTATTGTTTGAAAGAATGCTACTTAGCCAAGCAAAATGTGAGACAAATAACTTCATTTTAAGATAAAAAAGAAACAACTATAGGAATATAAATTAAAGCCGTGGTATATTAGACTAACATTTATGACATCTCTCTGACTACACATGACAGAGAAGAGCTGCAGTGAGCAGAGCATGCAGGGATAGGTTTGGATGTCATGCTGGAGGTTTTAGATAACACCCCTGAGAGATTATCAAATCACATTAAATTAAATGGGAGAAGCTGGTATATCCTGAGAAAAACTATTGGCCTTTTATCCCTGAAATCAAAGTACTTGAAATGACTGTTTTTCATTCCTAGTTGTAAATATAATGATTCAATATAATGTTATTAGTATAACTGTAAAAGTTTTATAGGGTTAGTTATTTGACATTTAGACATTTCATAACATGACATATTCCAAGTACTGTACATTAAATACCTCAGGAATGGTCAACTTCACATTCAACTTCCCATATACTTTGAATTACTTCATTAAGTCTGTTTTCACTTGGTTTAGAATTTTGGCACACCTTGAGTAATTGATAATTGAAAAATATCCATCAACTCTGCATAATCTCCACCCATTGGCACATCACTATAATGTCATAGGCAGGAGACATTTTTAATCATATGAAGTTAAGTTATATTTGTTTCGAATGAAACCATTATAATTCAGACAACATCTGCTCTTGCAGGTCTGCTGTACTCTTCTGTGGAAAGAAAGAAGTGTAGTTGCAGTGCCACCTGGTGATTTGAAAAGGAATTTCCTGTATCTGCAGGTAGACAAAAGCAGGTCATCATGAAGTTCATAGTGGGAACAAGTGTGTGCAACTCTCTGAAATGTTTGCATTTTCTGTATCTGACATGCTGGAGAAATATTTTTATAATCCAATAACAATTATTTCTTTGCTACTCTGAACACAGCAGAATGTAGCTGTAATGTTCTTTATTTAAACAGAAATAGTTTGCACATTTGATATGTTACCTTTTTCAAACAAAAGAAGAATCTGTGTTTGATTTGTGTATTATATAAACATATAATTATGTCCTTTGAAAAGGTACGCAGACCATCTAAAGGGTATAAAAGTATTCAGTTTGAAGTAAATGGCTGTCTATGTGTGAGACATACAGTAAAGACACTATAAGGGTACTAACATACAAAATAGCCTGACAACACAATGAAATGTCAAATTTCACCACTACAAATGTTATATAAATTTACAACCAGTGCAAGACGTATACTATATATAAGTCAAACTGGAATATAATGTGTAGACATTGCTGATTCAAAACATATGTACAGTGAGAGCACAGCCCTATCAGGACCTATAATCATCTGACGAGTTGCTGGAAGTCAATTGGTCAGGTGACTGTTGAAAAGCAGGAAGTAAAATCTTCCTCTGTTAGTCTGTGGTTGTCTGCTGTATCAGGGGCAGGGGCAGGCAGCAGAGGGCAGAGGGCAAAGGGTAGACAGTGTGCAAGACCCGGAAATATATAGCCCAAGGGAAAGAGAGGAACCGGAAGGACAGCAGACCGGAAACCAGGGACAGGACAGAGAAGGAGCGCACTCTGGCTGCAGAGGGCGTGACACAGTAGAGGACAGGACCCCTGTGTATACCACTTGCCTGGGGGGTGGAGGGGAAAAGAAGGACTGACCAATGACTAAAGAGTTCCGAGAGGTTTTCTGTAACATATTGTAAACGATTCTCAGAGAGAGAGTGATTTTGGAAGAATATTGGAGAAGCATCCAAGTGATTGTTATTGTGCATTGCTTGTTTGAAGGCCGGTAAGCAGTTTAGCTGCTGGGCTGTGATAATTAGGAACCTTGAGAAGACGTTTTGGCAGGAACTCAAAGAAGAGCTTAAGTTTTTGTTTTGGTTGTGCTGTTTTTGATTTTCCCTGTAAATAATGGGCACTGGGGTGTTTTTGAACCTCACAGTTGTGTTTGGTGTGTTTGTTGGCCTGGACATGCCCATTTTTAAAGATCACATTATAATTCCCAATGGGACATCACAGTGCATTTTTCAGTGGAATTTCTCTCCAACAGCAAGCAGTCTACCATATATATATATAGGTTTGTGAGTGTTTAGATAGACACACAGTGCAAACTAAATGAAGAGAATCCTTTACTTTGTGTTTTATGATGTATTCTAAAGGTTGTAAGACTTTTATGACACCTAAAAACTGTGGGATAGAGAACAAATGAATCTGGAGTAGGGATAAACATATTAAATGACTTCTCACATGGTCAGTGGAATACCAAAACAGCTTTAATCTACAGTAAATCAAACTAGATGCATGCCGAAACAACTGTTTCCAGTCTAATTGTCCCATTCACAAACATTTATCACCATGCCAAGTTTCTTTTCCCTGTAAAGAACTAAAAGGCTCTACTGCAAAAGGTTTATGAATGACAAATTCCATGTCATAAAGAAAAAAATTCATCTTCAGTATATTCACTATATTCCAAAAAAGAAATTGAAATGTACTTGAAAAAATGTCTTAATCCCTCAACAGCTGGTTACATACTAACTAAAATGACTAATTGACTTCTGAGTTATTTGCAATACAGAAGCTCTTTGTGTATAAGGCTAGCCAAACATCTTTGGGTTAAATTCTTTAAGAAGGGCTTGGAAAGACAGATGATCCACAGTCCTGCAGTGTGGCACCAGCTTGCAACATCTGACAGGAAGGATGAAAGACAGTCGTGCAGTCTTCAGAGCTGAGGCTCATTACCTGTAGAGCAGGAACTCTTTTAACCGATCTGGAAGATCTAAGCTGGAAAGTTTGTGTAGCCTCAATCGCCCCAGGCACTGCCGTATACAAAGGCGACACAGTTGTGTCAGAGCAGTGGGCCCTGAAGTGGACATAAGAAGGGAAAAGTTTTCAAAACGTGACGTGAAGAAAGACATTTTCTCATTACAAACAGTGTTTCCAGCTATGCTTGTAAGCGCTCATGCACCTGCCTGGCAAATTTCAAATGAAGCATCATTAACTAAAATTATCAGGAATGCACATAACATGAAAAAACAAGACAAGTTCATGCATTTCTTCCTAAATTGTATAATCTATAAAGCTCCTTGAAACATTGAGGTTTCAAGGCCAATGTTTGTATTTTTTAGGGTTTCATTTGTAATTACTTTTCAGAATGTTAGACCATTTTTTTTTTCACTTGGAGGTTTAGAGTGTCTTGATTTCAGGCTGTTAGGCCACAAAATGTGTTACTTTTTGGAGAGAGTATTTAACTTTTAATACGCACTCTATACTGTACTATATATGTTTTATTAAAATGTATTTAGCAATTAAAATATATTTTTTTAAGATTATGGAACACTGATTCATATTAAAAGAACATTTATACTGTATACTGAAATACTGCATACTACAGTTTATGCAACTATCTTGTTATCTATTGGCATCTCTCTAGAATACATCACTGTTCAGTGAACTTTGAAAAGATGTACAAACATAAGAATAGCTTAATCCACAATGTCTTGAAATTATTGAATTAATAAATAATATTGTTTTTACAAGGAGGGTGCCAATTATTTAGTCTGTAGCGGTAACAACATCAAAAACTGGGAAGTACAACACACAGCTCTCTAGTTCTGGCAGCATCCCAAGAAGAAACATATTAAATCCAGTAGGACAGAGTTGGGGTCACATACACTTCCCTGGAGTGTGAAACTAAACGTTACAGAGGAAAACAGATAAATGTGCCCTACACTGAGCTGTGGTAGGAAATCAAACCCATAGAGAAATGAATGGATTATAGCAGACAATACCTTCTCGTAATAACAGGGCTCTCTCCACTGCTGTGTTTGGCGCACACACTTCCACAGGCCTGTTCCCCTCACTGTTTCGGGATTTCACATCTGCTCCATAATCGATCAACATCTCCACTACTTTGGCACTGGATTTCCTTGCAGCTGCATGAAGGGGGGTATCCTGAAGTCTGCCTTTGTGAACATTAGCTCCTGCCATGAGTAGAAGTATGCATGTGGATTGTTATATCTGCTTTCTCTGCTGATGTTATGCAATACACATTGCTCTTACGCACAATTCCATATAAGTTTTGTTATTAACATCTATTGTCACAAGATACATCTTTCTTATTTCCCTTTAAATTATAAAGAGGAGAAAAATAGAAGATGATGAGTTATGATCCTTTAATAAGACACTTGGAAGCAAATTCTAATTCAAAATGATGCTGTGGAGAGTACAGGACATTCAATATCGTAATTTGAGTGAAGCGCAATGTCCAAGGCTTCACTGTGAGTCCTTGTAAATACACTCCTCTGTTCTCATCTTCTCCACTTTACTAACCTCTGCTTTGACAACAGCATGAACAAGACTGAAATAAACCCCTTAAACAAGAAGATGTTGAATTACACATACACTCTTCAAAAAATTGTATTGATTCATTCACAAAAAATACATTCTTCATGGGTGTTTGAGTTAAATCCAAGGCATAAAGATGACTTGCCTAACTGTAGCAGCTTCTTGACACAGTCTGTCCTTTGAAAGGTGCAGGCAACATAAAGAGGTGTCCCCGTCTGTGGAATCTCTAAGTCAATATTCACTCCATTTGCGAGTAAAAGCTCCATGCACTCTCTGTGACCTTGGGAAGGCAAAGATGATTCAGATGTACTACCAGTTACTGTAGATACTTCTGAAAGGTCATGTTGTGTTTCTCTGTATTTTATGAACTCATCTTTAGTACTGAAACAAAACATCAGAAAATATCCAAGCCTATGATCTGGGCTCCTCACCCTTTTCAATCTGAAATTAGCTGCCTCTCCCTTGCCCCATCTTGCATTCAGAGATCTTTTAAGATCTTAAGAACAGTTACAAACAACAGGAGGCCAGTTGGGCCATCAATTCCGTTTGTTAAAATCAACACTTAATGATGACTAATTGATCATTCAGATGGTTCTTGATGAAAAACCAGGGTATCAACTTCAACACAAGACTGGATATCTTGTTCCATACTCCTACCATTCTTTGCATAAAGACATTTTACCAGTTATTAGTTTCAACTGTACTTCCACTTACTGTAGTTTTATGTTTTCTACTCTCATTTGTATCCATTCTTATGCTCTTAGTGTTTGGATTACTGGCCTTCAATCCTCCCATTTACTCTGATTGATGCAATCATCTCTAGTCCTTTCTCTCTCCCCTCTTCCTTAAAGTATTTTAACTTCTATCATTTGTGATAGATAACTTATATCTCACTCTGCCTTATTAAAAATACTGTACAACTTCTCTAGCTTCAAAATGTGATTGAAACTCAGATTATGTTTTTCTTAATTTTGTTTGCAATTGATATGAGAACAATCAAATAAATGCTTAAAATACATTTTCTTAAATGCACTATTCCATATGAATTTACCCTAGTAACAATCTATTATACACTGATCTTGATAGATATGCATTTTTCCACCTCCAGTGGAGACTGAAAAGACTGTTTGCACTTCATCCTTCTAGCCTCTGACTTGGTACGGAAGTGTTAACATGGTGCAAAGACACGCCCTATCTTTTTTGTACTTTAGCAGTAAAGAGCCTGCCTGTTTCTGATTAGACATGCCTTGTGTAGTCTGAATGGAAAGCTATTCCCGCTGAGCAAAATTTTACTTTTCTCTGGCCCTTGGGTCACCTGCAAACTGGGTTGAACACAAAGATAATACAATTCAAGCAGATTAAAGTGTGCTAACTAAAAAGTGTAAGCATGCACTGAACACAAACCTAATGCAACACAAGCCAATTAACTTGTGCTAAGCATTTTGGTTAGGCAACCTCACCTTACGCAAATGTTTAATGTCTATTATTACTAAAGCACTGAAGGGGAAAACTCAGTATGCTGGAAACTGAACATGAATAACAGGCACTGTAGACGACCTCAATTCTGCATTATTAAAATTGTATTACTAAGTTACCATTTCAATCCTGTAAATGCTGTAGTTGTTGCCAACAAAATCTTACATCGTTTTGCTCAAATATATTACTGAAATAGTTATCCTGGAACATATCCATCCATCCCTTTTCTAACAACGTCATATAATCCGGGGTCACAGGGGACCAGGAACCCATCCCAGCAAGCAACGGGTGCAAGGCAGGGTACACCCTGAATGGGACACCAGTCCTCCACAGGGCACACACAAACACAAACTCTCACATCAGGGTCAATTGTCCCGGGAGCCAATTAACTTACCAGTATGTCTTTGGACTATGAAAGGAAACCCACAGAAACATGGGAAAAACATAAAAAGTGCACACAGATAGCACACAAGGTCCAGAATTGAACCCTTGGTCCCTGTGCTGCAGGGAAACATTGCTAACAACTTTGCCAGCATGCCTCCATTCTGGAATATATACTGTATACATGACAAACATCAAAGCTCAGATATTTTAAAAGCCTTATAATAAAACGCCAGTTCCTCATTTAATTATATTCCTCTTTTATTGACCTGTTTTTACTTTTGCTCAAAATGTCTTACAATATAAAGCCAGAAACCTCTGGGAAATATACTGTACAACCTTCACTTCACAATTAAAAGGAGGAAGCATTTCAAGAATGTCCTTCCAAGAGGTGGCAGCATTACCACAAAGCATGTTTTTAAAAAACTGAGTAGGTACTGACAACCACTACACAACCTTGACAAGCACCAAATGTCCAATCTTCCAGCCTAGTTTATTCTAAACACCACAGATAACATTGAGTTGTTCACGGCAACACTGTCAGCACCATGCAGTACTTTGGGTTATATATTGAACTCTTAGACCTGGTTGTAAAGTATAATAAAGACAAAACTCCTGATGCAAACAACAGGAGACATCATTTAAACACACATAAGTGGTGCTAAAGTAAGAAGCTGAACATTATAATTTCTTTATCAGAACTCTACCTATTCACACTACTTTTATCGCTGTCTGTGTTTATACGTGTGCTCATTTTTTTCAGGGAGGGATAACCGCCTTAAGTTAATTTTCAGCTTAAGATTAGCTATGTCATGACTGGAAATAAGAAACATTCTAGTGCACAAAGTATTTTAACTGATCATTACTCATTTTTTCAAAGCAAAATTTTACTAAAGTTAATTTTTTGAGAAATGCACCTTACTTCTTGTTTTAACTTAGTCTCCAAATTGTTTATCAACTTTGTGCTCCTTTCAAATCATAAATCTACATTCAGTGCCAACCCTAAGACATGTAAATATTTGTTTAAAAGACTCCTGTCAGAACACTGGCATTGAAACAGCACTGTATTTGGCTCCATTTACATGTATATAAGAAAATACCTTAGGTTTAAAGGAGATATGTTGCATTATTCATACTGTACTTCAAACAGTGGGGTTTAATTTTCCACTTTTAGTTAGAGTTTAGAAAGCTAAATAACATTGTTCATAAATACATAATCTTTGATCACTTGTCATGAACCAAAAAAATTAAACTTCACTGATTACTTGTATACTATTATTAAATGTAAATATAAAAGGTTTATGTTTTTATATTAAATATAAAACAAATCTTAACACTTTGAATACTAGTATAAAATGACTTGCAATCTTAAAACGGGGCTCTGAGTGTACTTTCACTGAAGAAGGAAACAGTACAGCTCTGTAAACCTGTTAGTCATACACTTGTATTATTAAGTTAAACTCTACTCAGTTCCAATGTACCTCTCTTTGTTGCTTCATAAATGGGTGACGCAAGCTGGCCATCTGGCTGTGGAATGGATCCATACTCCAGCAACACATTGACACAGGCTGCACTGCCACTGCAGCAGGCATTGTACAGAGGGGTGATGCCATCCACAGTCACTGAATTCACCTGGAGAAAGAGCCACAGAGACACATACATTAAGAGACAACAACCTATTCAATGGGACTACAGCCGGTGGCTTAGCAGATGGGACAATTGAAATGTGCTGTAGATACATATTTGGTGTCAGTAAAAAAAAACGACAAAATAAGCAAGCAGATATTTTAGCAATCAAAGGTGCATGTTATACAATAACATTCACAAGACTTGAATTGAACCTTGTGCTAGTTTGGAAAGATAATATGTTCTCCACGTGTTTGTGTTTCCTCCCACAGTCCAAAGACATCCATGTACTGGCTTCTGGGAAAATTGGCCCTGGTGTGAGTGCGTGTGTCTGTGTTTGTGTCTGTGTGTGCCCTGCAATTGACTGGTGTCCCATCTTGCACCTGTTGCTTGTAAAGATAGGCTCTGCCTCCCCTGCAACCCTACATGGGATGAAGTGATCAGAGAATGGATGGTTCTTCCTAGGTCTTTCCTTCATGTATCTCTCTCGCATTCCTCCTCCCCCTACCACCCCATCTACACCCTTGCAGCAAATTCCCTTGCTTACTCCTTCCAAAAGTCTTCAGCTAGGCATGTCAGGACAAATACTCTATCTATACTGTACATATCTCGTCTCTTTTCCACATTCATTAGGGTCTAACCAAACTACTGAATTATCTGTTCTTATATGCAGTTATACACAGTCACAGCTTTCAATTTTTCAGCTGAATTTGGTTTCTTCTTTGCAATAGCAGCACTTCAAGTCACCATTCAACACCCTGATGGGACTCAACTCTGGGGACCGACCTGCTCATTCTGTAACTGCAACCTCTTTTACAGTAATCCCTTACTGTAAAAAGAAACCAGTTCGAGTTGCTTTATTGAATATCAAATTTCCAATAATCTAATTAGAAGCAAATGAATTTCAGATAACAGATTGTTATTAAACAAAATATTTTGGGGAGTACAATAAATAAAATAAAAAATCCTTTATGCTGTTTTCCATTTCGTGTACTGTATGTTACAGTATCTTCAGTGTTAAGAAATCACAAAAAGTTCCTTTAATTTTTTAGGTGTTTTTTTTCACATTTTGAATAGATTTCTCTCCCACTATTATTATATAATTGATTCAGCACTTACATTTGCCCCATTCTCCAGGAGAACCTTAGCACAGGCAACGTGACCTCCCAGACAGGCATCATGCAGGGGAGACATCCTGTCGATGGTCATAATATTCACATTAAAACCCTGCAAAGCAAAGGAGAGTTACTGAACTAGAGGTGAAAAGTGGCGTTATCACTGGCGACAGCATCCAAGGTAATAATTCTCAAATGAACAGGCCGTCCTTCTGTACCTGTGCAATGAGAGTCTTGAGGGTGAGAAGGCGGCCCTGGAAGGCGGCATCGTGAAGAGGAGATCTGTCAGCCCAGGAGCCTGTGACACAGGTCAATACACGGTTCAGGACAGGATGGTGTAACTTATAGTCACTTTCTGCATCAGATTCTGAAGAGACCCTAGGTGAAGGTGAGCACTGCAGGACACGCTCATGTACTTCTCCTAACCTGCACTGGTAGAGGTGGAAACCCAGTCATTTGTTTCTAACACATACTGAATTATCATGCTATCTTGACACACAATGATCAGAGAGTTTAAATGAAATGTTCAGCAATACAGATAGAGCGCTATAGAACATAATTGGTATAAAAATGTTTATTTTATCATAATTGTTCTCTTCTTCGCCTTTTGGTATAGAATTTGGAAGTCTAAGGCACGTGGTAGATCAAGTTGTCAGATCTCAGATGCATAGCAAGGCTGGATCTGGTCAGTACTGGGATATGAGTCCTCTAAAGAAAACCCAGTTCTTCTGTCGGTGGTACTGGTGGCACAATTGTCTTTCTCCCCTTTGGACAAGAAATGCCAAACCAAAACCTCAGTTCTCTGATGGGGATATTGTGCTTTGGTGGTTCATCTTTTGGATGAGACATTAAATTGAAGACCTGACTACCTGGTAATTAAAACTGTGGCACTGTGTTAAAGAGAAGGGCTGTTTACCCAAGTGTCCTGCAGAAAATTCAGCCAGGCCTCATTAAAACTCTCCCTTAATTTCTCACTTCTCCTTCTTTTTTGCTATTTACGTAGGCTGCTGGCACATACTGTAAAGGCTGCTGCTCATCACAATTGGGTGGTCACATAAGTAGTGACATCAGTCTCCTCCTGTATGTAAAGAGCTTTGGGTTGCAAAAAATTATATAAATTCAATTAAGTCATGATAAAAGTCACAGCCTGTCAGCTCACTGAAGAGGCAGAGCTGCAGGTTAACGCTGGTTAGCGCTGCAGGTTAACTCCTCAACTCCCAGAGGAGTTGAAGAGCTGAGCATCCATGAGTGATTTCTATTGACTTTTCTGCAACAAGAGTAAAAAATGGCAGCTCACTAAAGAAACAGTATCATAAGAAAGAAAGTTAGGACAGCACAATAAGCATGTGCAAACCTAACATGAATACATTGCAGTTAAACAATTGAATGTTCATTACTATCTACTGTACCTTGTGCATTCAAGAGAAACCATAACATTACATGGTTTATATTACCATATTAACAGTAGGTATCCTTGCCTTTTTCCTTCCATTGTTGCTGAGCCACAGTCCATCATTTTAACTGTCATGAATTTGTGAACGTGAGGCTCTTACTTTGAAAAGCAACCGCACCAAAAAAAGCCATCTCCAAAAACATCGGGAGTAAAGTGTTTCCTTAAACAAAAGAAATCACCTACCAGCCATGAGAGAATTACAAATGTATTCTCCATGCATCTGATAGAGCCTGTTCCAAGGTTCCCTCCAGACAGCAATATCTGTCAGCATACCAGCCATTTCCGAGCAAAACATCTTGAACTAATACAAGTCTGACTTGAAATATCCTGGTCTTATCTGCTTTATCTCTCTCAAACTAACCCCTCCTGTCTGCTTTGAAAAGCAAATGCACAGCTGTGAGGAGGGCTCTGCAACTTGACGCTTGGTGACAGGGGCTTCACACTTAACTGTAAAAGACAAGGTAGAAATGCATAACTCATATCAAATATACTATATATTGTATTCTAGATTTAGTCATACCCTAGCCCACCAAAGAACAAAAATATTGGATATCAGAATGAGTTCTGGATTGGATAATGTGATTCACTTTAAAATATCCAGTGTTGTTCTGTCATAATAAAAGCATTTCACAGAGCATATTTCCATTTAATAATTCATTATCTATAAAATACGAGGGTTACATTTATTTATACATCTCGGTATTCCTTTAAATAAAATTAAACAAATTGAAATTCTTAGCAACATTTTGTTCTTTGGAAACAGAATGAAGCCTTTGGAGCCACTCAGGGCCTCAGACTTGCCAAACATTATTTGAATGACCATCAAAACAGTGTCCTGTGGTCAGATGGAAACATAATTGAGCATTTTGGCCAAGTCTATCAGCCTTATGTTGGGTGTAAAAAAGATAAAGTTCAAGTTGAGAAAACACTCAAGCCCACTGTGCAGTACTGTGTCTGGGGGTGGGGAGAAGGGTTCTGGAGCCCTTGTCAAGATAGGGGAAGTCATGAACTCCAACATGTGCTGTACCAGGATATTCTGGCTAGACACCTGGTTCTTTCTGCCAAGAAGCATAAGCTTGGCCTAAGATGGACGTTCCAGCAATATAATGATCCAAAGCACACATCCAAACTGACAAAGGAATAGTGAAATAAATGGCTTTTCAAAATAAATAACCACCTCACTCACTTACAGAAACCCACAGGTCTGAAGCATCCAGAGCAACTGTACATGGAGGAGAAAATTAAATCTCTCCTCTGAAGTGCCAGGACCTCACACACTACAGGAGGCATCTAATCAGTGTAAATCCTGCCAAAGAAGGGTTTAGAAAACACGAACTGCAGAGTTGTAAATAAATTGTGACCCTCATGTTTTCAGGACTTAAATTATGTATGACAAATATGACATAAAAAAATCTTTTATGATATTGTAAATTCAAAATTTATTTGACAAATAAACACTATGCAAAGCTAAATATTGCTGTATAACATTTTTAGAATTTTAAAATCAAGGAACATTATCCAATCTGTACAACTTTCAGTTCATTGTTTCTATTTTATGAGGGGTATGAATAAATTTGAAAGGCATTGCATACAGTACATATTGTACGCCTTTCACCAAGTTTTAAAAATATAAATATCCAAGGAAATCAGAAAGAAGAAGACACTCTTCAGGTCCTCTTCTTTGTTTTGACTTTCCATTTTAGCAGCTTCTGGACATAAGAACATAAATCAAAATGTTTCCTGAAAGATCTTGCCTAATCAATCTATAGTACATGACCCATTACTCCACTACAGTATATGAATCGCCCATCCAGAAGCACTAAGACCCTATATGCACTGGTCTATCCATCTTTTAATCACTTCATCCAATTAAGGGGTCATGGGAGAGCTGGAGAATATCCCAGAAAGCAACAGGAGCAAGGCGGGGTACATGTCCTGGGGCCCGTCCATCACAGACAAGTTTTTTTCCTGAACCCAATTAACCTACAAGTGCAGTATGTCTTTGCACTGTGAAAGGAAACCAGAGCACTTGGAGGAAACCCATGCAAACATGGGGAGAACACACAAACTCCACACAGATAGCACCCCAGGTCTGGAATTGAACCCAGGGCTCCTACGCCAGGAGGCAGCAAAGCTAACTACTGCACCACCATACCGCCCCCTAGAGGTACTGGTGATTTAGGTTTTGCCAAACTGTCTTTAGTGGTACAATCCCGCAACACGTCACAGAACCCTAATTAAAACATCCTTCGTGAGTTCTATAAAATATAAACTAAAAACTTTTTTAAAATAGAAATCAATAGCTGATTTGGAAGTCCCCCCCCCCTCACCACCACCCAATAATTGATGTGTCTGTTTCTGTCTGAGACACACTGTCATAACAGGTTGCATGGTTCAAGCATATGGGTACAAAAAGGTCATTTTACATTTATTGATGATAAGACCAATAGTTCTGCTTGTATGTTTTAACGAAAATACAATCACAGACAGCAGTATTGACACCCCATGTCTATAACCCATTTTATTAAATGTATGGGAAGATGACAACTATCTTGACCACAGTTACGATAAAGATCTTTTGTCTGTAGTTTTAAAATGTAGATGACAAACAAAACTGCATATTTGTATCTTACGGCAGAATTATCTTTGTGAAAAAAACATAGTGTACAAACATTCTAAACAAGCTACTGCAAACAATCTTGTTTAACCTTATGAATGAACATTAAAATGAACCTCAGAGGTTTAGAACTGGATGTGATTTACAGACTGAACCAAAGCATAATTAAGATAGAGTGTGAAGATGTGTGAAAAAGAAATATTGGCGCACTATAAATGCAGCAGTGCAGAACTAGGCCTCTGGTCTGCTCAGTATTCCAGAACTCTAGAGCTGCAGAAAACATCCATCATCTGTTCTTAAGAGCATTTAAAGGTGTTGTGGTGGCCTTACTAGACAATTTCCCATTGCCCCAATTAAAGCTTCAGGTTTGTAAGTACATTCTACTAAAACTATATACGTTTTGAACTGGAGGCAGACAAATTCTATAATAATAAATCATAACAAGTGTTAGATCAGGATAATCTAACAATCAGGATAATTAAAAACTCGATCGAAAAAGTCCCTTTATTTATCCCCTTTTTCGTGTTGATTCGGAATATCTGTGTACACAGTGAAAATGATTGAATTGTAATATGTGTACATTAAAGTAATTGTTCAGGCCTCTGCTTTCACCACCCAGTGTAAATTTTGTCCTTTGTAAGTGTTCAAACCTATTAAGTGTGGAGATTTTAAGGCACATTAAGACGATTTAAAGCAATGTGAAAAACATAAAACTTAAAAAACATCAATGAACTGGTCATGTATGAAGTGAAACTCCTTTAAAAAAACACAACAAGCACTTCAATACTAGTTTTTAAAGACTACACTTGGCCTCCATTGATGTGTTTATGCTAAATCTGGCTTTAGCGAAGTGTAAGAAGAAAACAATCTCTACTTTAGCCAGAATTGCCTTAAAGACTTACCCCCCTGAAATGAATGGCAGATATAATTTCCATACAAGTTATATCTAGAACCCAACGACAGGGCAGAAATCCCGGTGACATCACTTCTCTTTTGCGTAAAAGTGTCAAGCACTAAATTCAGCTTTTCCGCCATGGAGCTCGGACATTCAGCCGAAGTGTATTTTTAATAACTGGCAGCCACTCACTGCTAGCAGCAGCAAAAACACCACATGGCTCAATGTTGTGGAAACAAAAACAAGTTGAGATGATTTAAGCACGTGTCTTCCCATAGGTGATTTAGGAAGCTATTTAGCATTTAATCCATAATATGAGTGTCACATTACAGCACCATATGACGTTTCCAAAAAACATCTGTCGGCAGTGACCTTAGGAAAAAAATAAACGTTTTACTAAAGATTTTTCACTGTTTTCAAGCAGTGACCCTTAGAATTATTATTCGAAAAGAGCTATTTGCTGTTGTCTCTCAAAGGTTTTTTTTAATGTAAAATATATTAAACGCATATCAATTTCTCTGTCTTTCTAGCAAGCTGTCCTTGGGTTAACGAGGGACACCCAAGTATATTAAAAGCAAGAGTTTCCACACAGGCATGAATCATACATGAACTAAGCAAATAACATCCCAGCATACCCAGGGTCACACATAAAAATATTGGCCAGCTTTAGCTGACTATAATTATGGCTAGCATGGCTGCAAAAGGAAACCGCAGTGACTGTGATTGCAGGGGTGCAATTGGGCAGGAGCTACAGTGACCAAGACAGCTCAAGCTGCTGATGTTTCACAAGCAGCAGTGTGTACGTTGATGTCAGCATGGAGCTCTGAAGGAAAGGAAGAACATATGTGCATCTGCCCATGATGCCTCCCTGCCTAACAAGCTCGACATCTTTTATGCTCGGTTTGAAGCTAACAACACTGAACCAGTCAACAGAGTTGCACCCTCCGCAGCTGACCAGCTGCTCTCACTGTCTACAGAGGAGGTGAGGAGATCTCTGCTAAAAGTGAACACACGTAAGGTTGCAGGACCTGACGGCATACCCAGTCACGTCCTCAGAGCCTGTGCCAATCAACTGGCGGTTGTATTCACAGACATTTTCAACATGTCTCTGGCCCAACCTGTAGGCCCAAGCTGCTTCAAGACAACCACCATCATCCCAATACCGTAGAAAACCACAGTGACGTGCCTTAATGCTTCCCGGAATTACTCTCCCATCCATTCAGGACATTTATGACAGATGGTGTTTTAGGAAAGCTCTGAGCATCATCAAAGACCCCACACACCCCAGCTACAGACTGTTTGACCCTCTACCATCTGTAAAACAGTACCGGAGCATTCTGGCCTGGACTACCAGACTCAGAGACAGTTTTTGCCCCCACACTATCAAACTATTAAACTCCCAGCCTCTCTCGCCTACAATCTGAACCCTTACGGTGCCTTTTCTCTTTATCAAAACTCAAATGCACATTGAAATCTACCTCTACCTAAAGGATACAAATTTATGGGGAGACGTTCACTCCCCATAATTTTGTATCCTTTATTTCATTCTGTTTGCGTATGATTTTACACAACCTGTTGTTGTTTTGCACATTACCTGTTACCTGTTTTTCTTTTGCACATTGCCTGTTGTCTCTGTCTTTCTTTTCTTACATAATTGTATTGTTTTTTTGTCTCACCGTCTGAGAGCTAGCTAAATAGTATTTCGTTACACCATATACCCGTGTATGAGTATAATGACAATAAACTTGAACTTGAACTTGCAGCAGTTCTTTCCTGTCAGGAGGGGTGTCTTCCAGGATGAAACTTCCCCCACTACACAGAGCACCTGTGTTCACCCAGTACTTTGATGAATATGACACTAATGTCATCCACAAGTCCTGGCCTTCTCATCTAAACCCAATGGAATATTTATAGGATACTCTGATTTGACGCCTGAGAGAGTTTTCCACCTCCATCAACCAGGAGTGACTTGATTGACTTCCTCTTGGAAGAATGCTGTTTCCAAGGATTGTTTCCAAGGATTACATTTTTCCAACCAGCTGCATTGCTACAATACATGTGATGCCTAATAGATTATACAAGTAAGATTGTACAAGTTCAGTAGAACTGAAAAATCCTAACAGAGAAACAGCAGACTTCTTTGCCTGACATGTTTCACAGGATTCTTTTAGTAGTAGTGGGAGTATGAATTCCTGTGACGAAGAAGGCTTGTGTACACTCTGTCCACTCTTTCTGATAAAAATATTTTTATATATTTTGGTGCACAAATATAAGCAAAGCCAGGGTTCCTGCATCTGAAGAACAACTGAAGAAAGGATAGACTAAACATTCCAGGGACATATACATACTGTTTCTAAATAACCACTGTTTTCTGACATGTACTTGAAAAGAAAAGCTTACACTGACAACACAGCAGTAAGCTGGGGTGTGAGAGATGAACAGTACTTCTGTGACAAAGTGGTTCTATAATAACAACTACTGCATCTAGACAAAAGCAAAGACAGGAATTTGAGAAAGTACCTTTTTTTATTAAATGTATAAAACTTTGCTGTGTAAAAGTGAACAAATGGAACACACGATAAAGTTAGTTTTGTATTGCATGCAATAAGATTGGAAATCTGATAACAGCTTGATTCTCATTTTCAATTTCAAAATGAATGTGAGTGGATGGACATGGATAAGACTACCAGAAAAGAAAACACATTACAAAGCCAGTCTGCATTTGCATAAGAGTAAAATATCAGCTAATAAATTATATTAAAGCCTATTAGAACTGCCTAATTCACTGTCTTACACATAAAATGTTTCTATTTCAGTATCAAGGGAACTTTTTAAAGGTTCTAGTAATTGTACTCCACAAAATCTTTCCATACATTAATAATACTCAGTTTATCAGTGCAGAATCTACTCTTTTTATCCACTCTTAAAGTCAATAAGCAATTGCAGTCATTTTCTGTTTTAATTTTAAATAATTGTTCACAGTCCCATCAAGACTATCACTACTCTTGTATCCAAATAATTGTCAGCCCTGTTGAATGTCAGTTTAAATATGTTTATTCAGAACAAACACATCTCAGTAGGACTAATGTACTAATGAACAATTTACAATTTGCAATATTTAAAAGTTATTTCTAGTATTTCATCACTCCCGATGCACTGTGAGAAAACATCTTTTGTTCTTGATCACAGATACACACAGATTTTTCACACTGGTGAAAGTTACAGCACTGTATCATCTGTACTATCATTCACATGTTACACACAGCACTGTTTCTGAAAATTGAGAGGAAAGCTGTGCACTCAGTAAGCCAAAGACATCCGCAATATTTTACTACCTTTTTAAAACACGCTTTCTTTAAACTACATGTTCACCGCTACAAAGACATGAATAGTCTTTAACGTTCAGGTTTTAAACTACATAAATAACGAATGAGCAATGTTTGAAGCTCAGACGTCACATTAGACATATTTGCTAAATCAGTATGGCTGTTTATACTTACCTGATACATTTCAGATACTTAACAAACACAAGAAAAAACATAACTGAAACCTCTATTCATCTCCAGCACATCAGATTTGCACTGGCATAAAAGTAAAAATTAAGATTATACTTTATACATTATTTTTTCTTGGAATAAATAAACTCCCTTATTCTTAAAATATCTTCCCACTCATTGCAAGCAAATGCATTTTTAATAACGAAGAGCCAAGCAACTGTTAGTGAATTAAACTCTATACTTCCAAAGTGAAAATGGGCATAGTGTCAGTATCTGGTACTTATTTAAATACATCAACCCACTTACCCATGTAAAAGTTTATTATATATATATATGACAATGAATATTAATGTTAAGCTTATTGAAAGGATACTGAAGAAGATGCTGTGCACAACGTGCCTACTTGTTAATTAACTGGAAAGTGGTGTGTACCTGGGCTTATTCCATAGATCTCTTCTGCGATTCGAGCTGCCTCTTTTCTGTTTCCTTGGACGATGTAGAAATGGGTTAACAAGGCGAGACAAATCTTTATCAAAAGTTTAAAGCAAAACAAAGCAAAAATTGTAACATAAATATTATTAAAAGCAGCCAGTATAGAACTGTCCTCCATTTTGTTCAGTGCTGATAGTATCCTAGATCTGCTACAGTATGTTTTGCCATTCTATTCTGGGTATCATATGACTTCTATTTTAAATCCTGCTACAGTTGGTGTGTCTCTCTGTTACTAAGAATATAATTAGTTCATACATTTTTTGATGTATTACAAAGTTTCCTTTTACACTGTTCATTGTGGATAGGGAGGTTGTGGGCATTAAAAGCTCAGTGTTGGATATTTTAAGATTTTAAAAGATAGAGATCAGAGTTTAAAAATAGATGCAACTACTAAGAAGAAAATCCAATCGCAATAGGTATTTTCAAGAGCAAAGCTTGCTTCAAATATAAATACAACCAAGCTTCACATTCCAAACTTGAAAGATAAGAATTCATTTAAAAGTAATAATACTAATAGTATGGAATACGAAAGTGTTCATTGAAACATTAAATTGCCAATTCAATGTGACAACTGCATAATTAAAGTTTGTACAATACAACTGGAAAAAAAACCTTGAATTGCATTTTGTAATCTGTCTTGCAAATAAAAGCTCACATTTGTTTTCTACTTGTCCCAATATAGTTATAACCAACATATGTCGTGCATATTAACCCTTTCAGAAAGGCGTTTAATAATATTCGAGCTGCATTAAACTCGAGAGCATGAGTTTAATGATAGGTATTTTATACCTTTAAATCATCCATCCATTCATTTTCTAACCACTTAAATCCAATTCAGGAATAGCCAGAGCTTATTCCAGGAAGCAACAATCACAAGAAATACACCCTGGACAGGATGCCACATAAGGAATATTTATGGATTCCATTAAGAATTGGAGAATATTTTTTTCCAGAATTATTACAGAATTATAATTCCTGTATTTTACACAAAAATTTCTTTTAACTGTGATGTTTTAAGAAAGCTCACTGAAGTCTGATTTTTAGTAATTATTTTTTATTATTCCAGACTTAGTACAAGTTAGATATATACAGTGCATGGAGGAGATCTGACATTTTTTATATTTCAGATTAACTGTTTAAATCATACATGGGTGAAAGAATTCCTTAATCTGAGAATTTCATTACAAATGAATGTGACATGGGAAAAAATAACACCTATTGTAAATGACTGTTGACAATTGACAATTAAGTGATAAGGTATGCTTGCTTTATTTTATTCTCAAAACTATAAACTATAACATTTCATCTTACTAATTGGTATTGTAAAGGATAATATATAGATCACTGATGTCAAGATCAAATCCTTAATGGATCATGTTGTCTCCTGGATTTATTTCCTTTAAGACTAATATCCACTTTACTTATTAATCTTGCTCACTATATAAAATTGAGGTATGAAATAAGTAATTAATACAGTCTGCAAATACTTTACAACTCCAGCATATACTATACAAAGAAAAGCAGTAATAAAATGCAAGGGATGATTTGCATTTTTTTTTACAACCTACGTTTTGAAGGATGTTATAGACTAAATACTTAAACCAGCTTCCTCTGTAAACTGACCTCTGATTGCACAATTACTAGGCCTAACAGACTAGTTTAATTAGTTCAGATTAGATGTGTTACATAAACAAATAAATACAAATAAAACATAAAAATGAAGAGTTTTAAAATAAATATATTAAATGTTATAACTGTTTTCAGCTATACTCATACAAATACTGCAGCTCCTCCATCCAATGCTGTAAGGAGATAAAGAGCAAAGGTGAAACTTTGAATTTGCTATTGTCCAACATCTGTTGGATAGAGGAACAGAACAAGTTCTATAATGAGAATTCTAACTTGCTTTATACTGGCAGGTTTACATGAATCAAAATACATTTCAGATATCACGAAGTGAAATTCTTCTTCACAATTCGTTTTTACTCTCAGTCACGAAAATTAAGTTTTTTATAGGGAAAAGAGAATGACAAAAACTTAACTGTTCATTGTTGCATATTGTCATATTTTTGTGGGTGTAAAATGCATTTAAGTAATTTTCACATACAGAAATAAGCTACCGTACAAGATGTTGTTAGCCCTTAGTTAGCATTTTTACATCATAAATTATACTCATAGTATAATCATTATGGAATGGTTAACAATTGTTAAATGTGTTTATAATTATCTGTAGCACTAAGAAAAGTATGTAAAAGTAAAAGTTTTATGTTAATACATGAAGCATTACTAGTTTGAAAGTCTCAACTCTCCCTATCTATGCAACAATAACACACAACTGTATAATACCAGTGCTAAAAGCCATTTGACAAATTTTGTAAGTATGTCAATTGACCGAGACCCCAGTTCCCATCCGCAGCTTACACAACTCATTGAATTATGAACTTGCTGCAAGTCTCCTTCTGGTGGAAATGTTGAGCTCAACACATTTTCTCATGAAGATGTGCATATTGAGCTTGTGTTATGCTCCTCCAGAGACTGTTCAAAGAAATCATCCTATTCTAAAACACTCATCTCTGCACACACTTTGTGGAAGACAAAAGTTTAATAAAAGAACAGGAGAGTGAGCAGAAAGGTTTCACCTGTATACACTCCTCACTTGTAGTACACTGGACAATTGCTTCAACTTCATGTAACTCATTGCCACTCACTTTAATGGTTTTATTACACATTAGGCTAGTAGCTTTTGATGTTATGTTTGGAGCTCTAGAGTACCGCATTAAAAACCAAGCAGAGACGAACAGCAGTCCTAAGTTGTGAAATCACATAACTGACAAGACAGTGTCCACCAACAGAAAAATGGCTTATTCACAAAAATGTGCTTCTCTGGAATTTGCAGTACTTAACTCTATGCTTGACATGGCAATGATCAAGCATGATCGATATAAATAAACAATGAAAAATGCAAAAGGCCCCTGTAAAAGAAGTGTCAGACAAAATTTTAAAATCTATAGAAAAACCCAGACAAAATACCTGAGGAAACAAATCAAAGGCAGAAACAGAAACAAATCGTGTAAGATGAAACCATTAGCACTGCCAATAAAATTTAAACTTGTAAACTAATATGAGAATTGCATCAGACAAATATGGCCTTTTAATATTTTTTATAAGTATGAATTCAGTTGCTGCTGCTTTCTGCTGAGGAGCCCTTCTGTTATTTTTGTCTCAGTCTTCTCCTTTTCTGCTGTGCTTGTTTTTCCAAATTCCATGGGGACCAGAAGCATCAACTGCAATGTCTATAACATAATCTGGGACAAGCCAACTTAAAAACAGGAGGAGCAGGAAGTCCAGCACAGCAACAAACGCAAAAATTGAACCTGCTACTGGACCGCAGTGGGCCATGAGTCTCTGGAGACGCTTGTCCAAAGGCAAGACCACTTCTTTGGCCACTCTATCGTAAACCTGTGAATATACCAAAAGATAAATGGATTAGCTCATGGTTTAAAAAAAAAATCATTAACTGACTAGACCATGAGTGTAAAAATTCAATTACTTCACTTCAAAGACAACTGGACTGCCATTCATAGTTCTCATTCTCCATGTAAAAAAACACCTTCCTCCATACAAAAAGTTATATTTATGTACACTACCACCAACTATAATACTCTTAAAAGTGCTTCAGTTTATTGGGTTTACATTCCAAGTGACTTTTTAAATCAAAATTAATTTATACTGAAGGATGTCTCCATTTACCAGCAAGAGGAAGTTACAAGAAAAGCCATTTTTGAGATTTAAGACACACTGCATTTTAAAAGTCAGGTGGTCTGCATGGATGCTTTCTAAAACAACTTGTTTAGACAGGAACATTACACAAGCACGAACACCCGAGTACTTTGCAAGGCTGAGTGTGATGTAAATTCAAGAGCGAGTGCATTGCAGGCTCCCGTATATAACATGCCTTTTCAGTCCGCTCTGCAACGTTCCTCCAAGTGTAGAGAGTCCGAACCCGGTTGTGAATGGCAGCAGGTGGTGGCACATTCCCTGCCCTCTGCTTAGCGATGACCATCTCCAAGCCGTCACATAATGATTTCACAGTGGGCTCACATAGCGTAATCAGGTCTTCAGGCAGCACCTCCGGGATTCCTCCCACTCTTGTGCTAACAACCTTGAGGCAGCACACAGAACTCTTTTCAATGCACTGCAGAACCAAGGCGATCTAAAACTGTCTTAATTAACACTGACTGAAACATTCAAATAATTGTACATTGATAGAAGAAACTCAATAAAATGTAAGTCAGACTTATCCAATTGCAATGGGTCAAAATAATTGGAAGCTGTACTGAGCTAAACACACAGATTTACTACCTTGTTCCTGTGGCTTCTGTTCTTTCTTAGTGAGGTAATTTAATAAGAAGCATTTTGACGTTAGCCAGTAAAATTAGCTCACAATGATCAGACGTGTTCACAGCTAGCCCATCTAAAAGATGAAAAGATTAGAAACAGAAATAATTACCTGCAGACCACAGCTGGCACCCTCTACAATGGCCATGCAGAAGGCCTCTGTTAGAGATGTGTTTAGAAAAATATGACCCTGAATCAAAACCTTTCTAACATCCCTGTGCTCCAAGGCTCCTAACAGACGAACCCTGCATCAGAAAACAACAAAAGATGACATTTCTGTGTCTTTCAAACTCCGTCAGGAAGTAATATGACTGTAGCAGGACCAAGATCCTCAGACTAACTTATTTTAGGGTGATTTTAAACGAACAGGGGGAACCACGGACATTAGTATTAGAGGAAAAAAAACTGTTCAGAATCAGTTTGCTTTACACTGCTTGAAGGAGTAGTCCATTATAGATGAAGACAAATATCTGCAAATTCCTGACATACAGCTGTACATTTTATCAACTATTTTTTTAAATGTCAAGTGTTGTTCTTCATGTGGAAACTATTTGCTTTCATCATTCCAGATAAAAAGAACAGATAGCTGCACTTTTAAAATGTTAATGAAAATATCGATCATGGCAGAGAACTAAGACCTTTAAAGATTGAATTCCTAGAAATATCTGCTTTTCTTTCTATAACACTTAAGTTATCAAACACATGCAAAAAAAGTATTAATAAGTGCCAAAACAGAAAAACTAATTTTATATGAAGTTCTGACAAAAAAATACTTCTCATTTCTACAGAATATTGTTCTTCTTTTAATAAGAGAAGATAACATTTTTATTCATGTACAGTACTGGTTAAATCACACTTTACAATTATAAATATAAATTTGAAAAGCACCTTGTTTTGCTGCATTTTATAGTGTACTGTAATTAGAGCTTGGGTTTCAATGAAAAATACCAATTGCTCCAAAAATCCTAACTCACCTATCATGAAGCTGGTACTTTTCTCTGACTTCTTCTAGGACAATTCTTTTAGGTCCCTCACCACCAATGAGGAAATACAAATCTGGATGTTTCAGGCACAGCTCTGGAATTATGCCACCAAGCAAATCAATCCCTGCAGGAAAGCATGAATAAAAATTTCCAGGAATTACTAAAATCAACAATCTATGTATTTCTGCACTTCACAGTAAATGTGATAAAATCATTAAAGACTTAAAAGATATAAAATTATGTTCTGACTTTGAAGTCAGTATTAAAATGCAAGTTTAACCTTAATCTCTACTGCTAAAACACATTTTTGCTTTCAGAGGTCACTCTTACCCTTCCTATAAACAAGCCGGCTTACTACCACAATGGTAATCTTGGTGTCATCCCTCTGGGATGGATCTGGAGTGAAGTCAGTGGGATCAACAGCATTTGGAATTACAGACACTATCTCAGGATCCAGTGCAGCTCTTAGGACAGTGTTCTCTTTGCTTGTGAATGACACACAGATGATGTGGTTTGTGTCACAGAGCGACACAGTGAGCAGCTTATTGGTCAGCACCGAGCTCACGTCTGCAAAGCCAAAAAGGGAGTGGTCTGTGAAAACTGTGTGCAGTCCCATTGTCTTGGCGTGAAACAAAGAATCATGAGCCATGGCTGAAAATGAACTGTGGGAATGGACAATCGTGATCCTTTCTCGTACAAAGATGCACCTGAGCAGAGGCAGACTGTGGAAACATGTTGTTGCTGTGGACTGATTGTACATTACCTGCAGAGGTAAATAGTAAACCTTCAGTCCATTAGTGAGGTACCTCACACCTTTTCTGTTCCTGTAAGCATGAGTCACAATTATAACCTTGTGTCCTTTTTCAATTAAGCATTGTGATAGTTGATAAATGTGGCTTTCAACTCCTCCCATATTGGGGTAAAAGAAATCAGACACCATGCATACATTGTGCTTGCGGTGAGGATGATCCAGGTGATTGAGTCCAATGTCATCCAAGAGCCTGCTAATTTTGGGGCCCTCTGAGCTCCTTCCTATTCTCTGTTCCAGCTTCATAGTTCAAAATTCAATTCAAGAGATGCATCTATGCAGGTTTAGATTTGTACTCCTCAGCTCAAATGCACACCTATAAAATAAAGATATGTTATTATTCTTTCACCTCTATACTATTACATATCCACATGAATTAATCCACAGTGCCCCTTTTCAATATTACCAAATATTACCAAAAATTACATTAAAAATAAAACCCTTCCTATTTTTCATCAATGATCTAGATTCTGGTATATTTAGGTAAACTAGTCAAATTTGCCAATGACACAAATTAGGAGGACTGGAAAACATGCAAAAAAGAAAGGGTAGCAAAAGTAAAACTATAAATGCAAAATAAAAAACACTCTGAGATAGAAGCAGGTTGAATTCTGAAAAGGAATTAGGCGTCTATGTTGATGAGCCATTTACTTCTAGGCAATTCTGGGACGCAGTTAGAAAGATGGATTAATTTTTTGGATATATATATTAGTAAGTGACATACTGGTAGATTAATTGGCGTCTGGAAAAAACGGCCAAGGTGTTAGCATGGTTGTCTGTGTGTGCCCTGAGATGGACTGGTGTCCCATCCGGGGTGTATCCTGCCTGTGCCCACTGCCAGCTGGGATAGTCTGTAGCTTCCACACGATCCTCAATTGGATGAAGCGGTTAGAAAACTGATGGATGAATGCATGGAATTTAAATCAAGGGGTGCTAGAATTGTGTAATGCACTTCGTAGGGCCTTTTTAAAAAAATTATGTTTACAATTTTGGTCACTATGTCATAAAAATATTCCTGCTCTGGATTCGGTCCAGAGAAGAGCAATCTAATACATTTCAGGGATTAAGGGAAGGTAATACACTGACAGGCTTAATTAACTGAACCTTGAGTCTTGAACAGAACTACTACAAGGTTGTGGAAACCGATATGCTTCGGTAAACGGCTTGATTGGAGTAATTACTAGCTACCAAACGGGCTATATGGGTAGAATAGCCTCTTCTCGTTTGCAACAGTTCTTAATCACAAAATACTCAGGTTACTGTAAAAATGTAACCAGTCGCAGCACTTGGTTAACACAATTTATCAGGAATAAGTGTTGACGTATTTACAGAGCATATTATACAGCTACACTCCGATAAACTCATTAGGTTTCGGTTTGAGCGCCCTGCATTTGATGACCCAATGCTTTCTGTACCCGCTCATAATTTATCCCCAGAACGCTTCACAGCAAAGCACCCTTACCTGACACCAATCTAAGCGATTGAACTGAGAGGTGCCACCTTCGAGAAACGGTACAAACTAAAGCTGTCATAACATTTAATCACTGCACCGCGAGGTAATAAATGCAACAGCTGGTTATCTAGAATTGTGACTGGAAGAAACTAAAAGAACTTCTGTTCAACAACTACTAGTACATTTATTTAAGTTTTTACAACAAACGAAAACAGTATTACCTTATATGTAACGATGGGTTACGTATCAGTTGCTTCCTAGGACTACACAGCTTTTTAATTATTTTAGTACAAAGACAGGCTTTCTTATTAAGCAGAAGTGCATGTTCGTTTTCGTTTTCAATGAGCATTTCCGTGTTGAACGCGAGAGATTACTTCCGCTTGGCATGCTGGGAAATGAACACTTCCGCAGTCTTCTGGTGTATGTTAATTTACTGAAAAAAATGTACAAGTAAATGACTGGGATCTTATTTGGTCTCTTTAAATTGTAAACTCTCTTTTATTCCAAAACGACTTGCGTTAAATAATTTTAATTTAATTTAAAACAATACTTTAAAGCCTTAGTCGTATGGTTCCCTGGTGGTCTAGTGGTTAGGATTCGGCGCTCTCACCGCCGCGGCCCGGGTTCGATTCCCGGTCAGGGAATGCAACTTTTTAGTCTAGTTATTGATTGTTGATTTGATGCCTTTTAATTTTTAAAGGTACTTGTACTTGTACGTATTCTATTTTCTCGTGTTGAAACTTAACGAGCGATAAGTTCACTAATGTTGAGAGACATATTTTATTTGTGTTAACATATTCAGTATTCTGTACTTTATGTTCTTATTTAGGTTTGTTTTTACTGTGGTAATTTGTTTAGTGTGAGAGAAGTTTTATTTAATCACTGACCCAAGGGAAAGTGTTGTGTGTACGTTTGAGGAGAGAACGCAGGCTCGCGCTGTGTCCGTTATTCTTCTTTTTCATTTTGGTTCTCGGTAACGTTTGATAATCGGCAAGTGAAAGCTATTTTCCTTCTATGAACACTTTTTTTCCTGTAAAGTACAAATAGTTAGTTACTCTGAAACCATTTGAGCAAAAAAAAAAAAGGAAAATCTTTCTAAATCTGTTTACTCTATGCTGATGACATTTTCCTATGTCAGTTAACCAAGTACACAGATCTTCAGGTTTTGTAAGACCCCACGTTTCCGCGTACCGGAAAATCGTAAAAAAGAATATGCTTGAGGTTCTTGAATAAAAATAAACTGTATCCAACTAGATGGGCTTCTATACGATCTGTTGTTCGCATAGGTTATATTATAGAAATGGACATATTTCCTTGCCTATTTATTTAATTTGTCAAGATCCTTTTAACTCCCAACAAAATGCATGGAACAAAGTAAAACTGTTACAACTACTTTGCCTCATAGATTTTGCTGGCCTGAACATAACTTTTAAGTATTTAAGTTGAGGATGTTTACAAAATGGTTGGATTTGGGGCATCAGCCTCACTGAAGAAACTTAAACTGAGCAAGTTAGACACTGGGATCATATTTCTTCTGTTCTCAAAAGTCAGGACTGTTTCCTTTGAAATGGTCCCAGTCATTGCACACTTTGGACAGTTGGAGGAAGGTCAACTGCCTCTTGACATATCATAAACGTTTATTAGGAATAATTTCCTCTAATTGATGGGTTCTGAGCTCTTCAACTATCCATCTCTGTATATAAGATAGTATACTTTTGGTGACATCTTTGATTACAATGGCCTGCACACATTTTTCAGACACACCTATTCACCTCCTCGGTTTTCCTATTGTATTGACCTCAGACCTTGCTCATCTTTTTTGTACCTGTTGGGAGGACTGGGACACTGTCTGGGACAACATTATTACTCTCTCTAAAGACCTACTGTACCACAGCATATCCATTTCAAACTTGAACATAAAATGCACACAACACCATACCAGTGGTTCGACATCGTGTGTGCTTCCAACTCTCTCTGTCACTGAAGCCCTCAGAAGGAACCCGCACCTGCCTGTTTGGGGAGTGGCCTGTGATAGAGCGGTCTTGGGCGTATGTGACTAATGGGCCTTTCTGGTATGACAGTGCTGCTGAGCCCTGGAAAGCTTCTTCTCAATGACTATCCCTGTGCTACTGTTAATCTTGTGAAACAACACCTTTTGTTTATAAGTCTAACTGCTGCCAAGAAAACATTTTAAAGTTGGGTGGGGACTGCCATAGCCTTAAATCACACTGTTTTGCATTAATTTGCAGATTATTTCTAGCACAAAGAAGTATAGATAGGATTGTGCAAAACCTACATCGGCATGGTGTGTTGCTTTTTTCCATCTTCAGAATTTGTTTTATTAGCCCAAAACCGGTGATTGCACTGACAAAGTATGTGTTTAATGGGATTCCCATTTCAAAATTAATCATTCATACTTCATACAGCTTTTGAATGGTTAATTGTCGCATGGGATGAGAATGCCTGAAAATGATGTCAAGTAACCCTAAGGCTAGTTGAAGATAAAGTGTTAGTCTCTAGTTACAGCTAAGAACAAGGTAAATATATCTCTCATGGGAACTACAGTTAAAGAAGGAAATCAATTACTTGGTGTGAAACGTGTAACAAAACCTATAATTTAGAAAAGGCTGCACCTTGTAAAAACTACTTGACAGGGTGTTTTTCATTTGCACAGGAAATTCTGAAAGATTTGTATATAACTTTAAAGTTAGGAAAGTATTTGACATTTGAGAAGAGCATTGTATAGTTTCTTCATCTAGCCTGCTTTTGTAGCATTTGTAAATTCTAATGGTGTTGCAATTATCTAAATTAGATGATAATATTGAATAATAATAATCACACAAGACATAAAAATGCAAACATTTTATAATTCACATAATATACATTTAAATATATTATACAAAATAAGCATCAATTGTGACAAATACAAAAATATGATTTTAAACTGTAAAATATATGTTCAGTGCCTACAGGAAGCCAAGTTACAAACCATCTGCTAAAACTTAACAGCTTTACATTTAGAAGTAATTTAATGTGGTCCTTTTTACACTTCTTGTGTGCAGGAGGGGGAGGAGTAATATAAACATTAAATGCATGACAGACATAGACACGTCAATAAATTAATTTCTAATTTCAAACCGCTCAACCTTTCAGAATGTCAGTGCTTTATCTTCCATTTTCAGTTACAGCTGTGGAGAAAGAAAATGGTCATTTTAACATGAGCAAGAACAATTGTTATATGCCGTTGTTTATGATAGATCATATAATGAAAATGATAAAATCTAATCCTTTTAAAAAACCTGTATTTCCAAAGACTGATGTCAAATTGGTGCAACACTTTGAATTTAATTTAAGGTTTGGTATACAGAGGCTAAGCCATGTGAAACTTCAATGTAAGTAATAATTACTAAAAGGCTCTGGTATAATCCTCACTGATGTTTACTTTTTTGAACATGTGACTTCTGAATCAATTACTAACTAGAAAAAATAGAAGGAAAGCAGTAGGTTTTTGTGAAGTATGAATGTGTTTTTGTTAATGAAGAATGCATTAGATAGTAAAAATTACCACACAGCATACACACAGTTTACAAGTTTGGGTGTGTCATTTCAGTCTAGAACATAATTTGGTTAACTATTTGGTTTCTCTACAGTGTGATCCTTCCTTTGTTCAATGTGTCATCTGTTTCCTGTACAATACACGACTCAAAATCCACATGTGAATTTATCTTGTTTTCCTAACACTTTCCTAACACTATCTTTAATAAGATTGCCATTAATTAAATTTGATAAAAAGGGACTGAAGGACCAATACTTTATGTCTCAAGCATTACATTTTTTCATTGAGTGTATTGCTTAAATGTATCCCAGCACACTAAATAATTTGCATATGCTTTATAAGGTTTTTTAAAATGGTGAAATTATAATTTTGTTCATTTTTCTTCCTAGAAAAATAAAAAATATATTTTTTAATCTTCACATTGCAGTTTTCTATTCTGGCCACATTTATTCTAATAGGAAAATGATTATCCTAATAGATTCTGGATTCAACCATTAGTTTAGTTCAGAATTATGCATCGTTAAGGTGATTTGACTTGCTTTAAGAAGTCAGTAAATATGGTAATTTACCTGCAGGAGCCTGGGTCAAACTCTTTGTTTTCTGTGGCACAGATCTCATGGTTTAGAGAACAATGGCAGCTACAGTTTTTCTGGTTTATTGTGTAATTTCTGAAACAATTGTTCTCACAAACACAATCACATTGGTTTTCATCAAACATCCTAGGAGGCCCACAGTCTGACAACTTGGTAATTGGAGAAAATTCTGAAAAGGAAGCAGAGAACCTTACTGATAGAAAAGAAAAAAGATGCCAAAGAAAATGTCTTCTGGTGTCAAACAGAGTACTAAGTGAATTAAAGGAAATAAATGTTATTTATTCTTCACATAGAACTTATCACTCCAGAAAATGTTCACACAACATGCCAAGCACATACTGGAAATATAAAATCTCCAGTTCCTGGAAGACTTCTATAAATCAGGAAGTAATACAGCCAATGCACCGAACTGAGATAAGAAATCATCCTAGTATCATTCAGTCGTTTTCAAACATGAACTCTGCTGTCCCAAGTCGTTGTTAGTATTTAAAAAATGTATATCCAAATGTTTTAAATATATCCAAGTTCAGTTTAAAATTGTGTTTAATATATAACAAAACATTTAGTTACACTGTAAAAGTATAGTTAAATATGTAAAAGTATTAACCAATCATGGTTATTATTACTATTATTTTGAATAGTACAGTGTGCACTAATAAAGGCTTTACAGGCTCATTTGCCATACTTTTACATTAACAATTATATTTGCATTAATGGACTAATTAAAATACCATTCTCATAATTTTATGCTTTCAAACAGTTTTTCTTGTTTGTCTATTGTCTATGTTTTCTGATGGATATCAGGTTTCTGACCAAAATGTGGAACCAACTCCTATGTTTTAAACAAGAAAATACATTCTTAATTGGCTTATGGGAATATTGGCCCTGGTATGATTATATGTGTGTTTGTGTCTGTGGCTGCCCTGCAATGGATTGGCGTCCTGTCCTGGATGTACTGTATCCTGTTGCTTGCTGGGTTAGGCTTTGGTGTTCCTGGGTACCCTGTACTGGATAAAGCGATTTAGAAAAAGGCTGGATGTTTCTGTATATTTCTTTCTTTCAGTTTTTTTTAGTTGTACCTAGACTCATGTGTTATCTCCGTATTAATGTACTAACATTGACACGTACCTTCTTTCTTTTTTATGGAGGGGTACAAGACACACTTAGCTGCCATGCAGTCCCAGATGAGACCTTTGTCACATAGCTTGTGTGAACCTGGGTTTTTAAGTCCAAAAGAACACCTGAAAGGTGGAAGAGATTTAAGTACTGTGGGAGCAACGACTACATCAAACCATAATAAAACATCTTTATATAAACATTCTCTGGAACATTGAGCTATGTTATCCAATGTAAAGTAGTCTTATGGACAAAAATGTGATAAAGGTTTTTTTTCTATGCACTTTTATGATATGTTTCATTTTTTCATTTTTGGTTGTGAATTGTGTGTGGTCTAAAGGCTATTGTACAAGACAGGCTACCGTACCACAAAGATCTGGTTCGTCTTTTTAAAACCTTTAGTTACACAATTTGACAATGAATTCTAGGAAATGCATATGAGGTCTGTAGTGTTTTGCATAATAATAAAATGAGTTTAATCAAGCTGTGACATTTTTACTTGTCTCTACCATTTCTTCCTTGTAGAAACGTGTCTAGAGAAAGAAACTCAGCTGACTAAAAGCTGACCTTGTCTTTTGCTGGGGCTCAATTAAGAACCAGGATGACATTTCCTGAGCCCTGATCTTACCTGTTTCCTCTGTGTTCCTGTACGTGCCGTCTGATAATCACAGGCTCCATGCATTTGCATTCAGTGTGATTGGCCACCTTTATCAGAACTGGCTCTGGTCCGTATTTCAGTGGTATTGAAAATGTTAAGAGCTGCAGATATTGTGAACAGAGTATATTTTAGGAATTTATAGTGCCGATCCTAAATGGTACATGTACTGTAATTCAATGCTAGAGTAAAGCTGCCTACACTGTATGCTCAAATAGCATTTGAGTCGTTACAAAGTAGGTTTTACAAAATCCTTTGACTTAATGCTTAAATTAAACTTAAATTAAACTTTTTACATTAATGTGCTTTATACATTCACAATAATAATTTTTTTCCAGATTGATCTTCAAGGCTCAGATTGCCATCATAAATGTGAAAGACAATGAATTAAAAAAATATCTTACGGTTTTATTTACGTAGGTAAAACTTGTTTCTTTGCATATCACGCCTTCTTTGTTACAGCACCCACCGCACCTGAAGACAGACACACAGGGGGGTTTGAAGAATATGTTTGTATTGGTGCCCAGTTCCTTAGCCACATCTACAAAGGTCTCCCTGGGCATGCACTGTGTTTTCTGCCATTCGTCATCAATGGCTGTTAGGGAAAAAATACACATATTAATGAAAGACACAAAACACTATTATCCACCAGGGGGAAAAAAAGAAAAAGATAAGCATGCATTCATGCACAAAATCCATGGATGCAAACATTTTAAATATACACTGTATACACAAATAAATTTTATATGCAATAGTATTCCAAATCTGGAGGAGGTAACAATGATGTTCATTCTTCATGACTCTGAGTCCTACACAAATATCTATGTGTCCTTGTAGAAATATCAGTCTCCTCTCTCTTATAATGTACCAAACTAATGATAGCAGTGACTTTATTTTCTTCCCCTGCCTCTCTGTACATGGGTTTTCCAAATGATGTTACTGAAAGGCTTTAAAAACATAACAAATGCGATTGGCTCCAATATCATATCTATAATATCTCTGTATTACGGGTGGTATGCATGTTTCTATAATGCACAGTGAGGTGGATCTCTCGGACAGTTCTCGGTCTAGGTGCAGTCACACCGCTCGTGAGGCGTCCTTTTTCCGCCGCCTCTTACCTTTCAGAATCTCCAGGCTGTAAGACGCCGCGGCGTAGCGCGTGGCGCGGTGCGACGCTGCGGAATACGAGCGCGCTCCCGGCGAGGACGCGACCTGCTTGAGCTTCAGTCTGCACTTCCACAGTTTCCAGTCAGGGTAGTCCGTCAGCCTCAGCAGCTCCTCGAGGCTGGAGGCACATCTAACGTTCTGCTCCCACACCTCCTTATTTTCTGCCTGTTCACGAGAGATGGGGCAGGAGCATTCTGTCACTGCAGCAGCCATAGGAGGCAACAGTCTTTTGAGCAAAGAGAATGACGGACAGAATTCCTCCGTTTTAAAGTTTATTAAACATAATACACAAAGCCTAAGGAAGTCAGAAAGTAATAAAGAGTAAAACCAGGTTACCTTTCATCTTGCCTGAATAAGAGTATTGAAGTACAGCAGTGTGGATCAAATGTGCTGCCAAACCCTTAAACTCTAAACCCTTCTTCTCAATAAAGGAAAAACCTAATGTTTTTTTTTTATATTAAATACATGTGTAATGCAAAGAATTGCCCAAAAGGGACCTGTCAAAACATACCTGTGGATTAGTCCAGCTACAGAGAATAAACTTCACAGTGAGCCCCAACCCCACTTTCCCTCCATCCACAGCCCAACACACAGATTTCTAATTAACTCAGAATTGTGTGACTGCAGAGATGACTGCTGATTTAACATTGGTGATCTCTGTAGCTTCATGTCCCTTCTGTGAAAAACACAGGTCATTCTTCTGTTTAGGAATAGAGAAGCACATTAATGTTTTCAATGGTTTCGTGTGCAAACTAATGTAGACTCAACAACAGATAACTGTGTTTCCCAAAGACAATCCGTTTCAGCTGGGTTTGGAACAATACCCTAGTCTGTAACACAACAGCCCTGTGCAGATGTTGCAGAAAGAAAGTGAGAAGGTCATTCATCACCGGCAAACTAAGAAGTGAAACGACACCAAGCTTCTGTTGTAAATGCTCAGCTTTTTTGTTTATACACGCTTTGCCACAACACATATGTGTTTCCAAAGCAAGCTCATTATCCCTGGGTGGCTACAATAAGAACTACATGCATAATTCAAATATCAACCAAAGGATCAGTTTCTATGAGAAGCCCGATTGGATCCAACTCACTGGAAATGTGTATTAAACTTCACAGCTTTCACAGATTGTAATTCTCCACTCCTTTTTAAAGTTCCCCACCAAAAGCCTGCAACCTGCTGCTAGGCAAACAAAATCAGGTCCAGATTTCAAAGGAAATCCTTCTGCATTGAAAGAGTCTTAATACAAAAAAAACATGCTGTGGAGCCAGGTTTCATTTGCTCTCTCTTACATACACATGCCTTCCTTTGATGTAGAGGTCTGGCATATTCTTTCCCTGTAACATTACCCATTGTGCAAAGAAAATGGATATTGTATTTATATCATGTGTGTGCAATTAAATGTATTATTAACTTGTTTATGAAATGGAAATATTTTTTACACAAAGACAGATACCTCCTTGGGCAAAACTCCCGTCTGTAAGTACTAATTCTTCCAGGAGCACGGGTTCAAATCCCACCTTTAGCTTTCTAAATTTACAGAAATGCAAGGATGGCACAGTAGTTAGTATTGCTGCATGCCTAATTCCTGGGGTTCTATCTATGTGGAGTCTGTATATTCTCCCTGTGTTTGTGTAGGTTTCTTCCAGGTGCCCTGATGTGAGTGTGTCTGTGTGTGACCTGCAATAGACTGGTGTCCTGTGCAAGGTGTATCCTGCCATGTGCCTGTTGCTTGCCAGGGTAGGCTCTGGCTCCACCACTAACCTGTATAAAATAGAATGGTTAGATATTGGATTGATCCATGTATGTACATTCTGTACTGCTAAGATAAAGAAACTAATAAGAAACAGCAAATAATATATACTGTAAACAGTTCCAATACAAATACATATAAATCCATATACAGTATACTGTATGTCTCTTTTGAATAGTATCACTGTCTTCGTTTAATGTGATGTAATCTATAACAGACCAGTTAGGCAAAAGAAATATGAATATAGCCTTGAAGTGAACAATAAATAATCATAATGAAGTCAAAGGGCTTAATAACATAACATTCATCATTATTTCGACAAAAAAAAATGATTAGCCTAGTGTTTACTGCTAACCCTGAAAAAAGGACAATTACTATAGTTCACAAAACATTTCTCACTTCAATCCAAGAAGTGTAAGCTGTGTAAAGTTTCATGGGGAGGACACCAATGTAAAAATCACAATATCTCAGATGAAATAAACATGAACATTACAGATAAAGGCAGAATATTTTTAGTGTCACCTATGACACGAAGAATGGTCAGTGCTAGGGAAAAAGGGATAACTGCCGTTTTGATTTCCACAAGAGGGCAGCAGCCTTTCAACTCAAAAAAGTTTATTGAGGGACTTTGTGTGTTTCTTAATAGGTTTTAAAAACCACTGTGACGTCTTTGACTTTGACATCTAATGATGACACTAACAATTATTGATACAAAACAGAGAATGTCCACAACTAAGCAAGCACTACACAGAGGGACCAAAACCAGGAAAGATCAACAGAGACCAAGAGGAAGCGCAACATGCCTAAACACATTTTTCAGAATGTCTCCTCTCCTGTGAAATGGCAAGGGGCTGTGACAGTGAGAACTCTAACCGACACTGTTGTGAAAATGAAATACAGTATTGTGGTTATTAACAAACAATTCAAAGAGATAAAGTTATTTTTTTATATTACAATGCTACAGAAAAATAGATTATCCTCCCATTTTCTAACCCACACTATGCAGGACAGGGTAGCAGGGGATCCAGAGCCTAACTCAGCCAACAACGGGCACAGGGTGGAATACATCCTGCCACTAGTCCATAACAGGGCACACACAGACTCAGACACACATACAGTACATTCTCAGCATGGCCATTTTAACAGAAGCCGGCATGTTATTGGACTATGAGAGGAAAGTGGATCACCCAGAGAAAACCCACACAGAGGAACGTGGGGAGAACATACAAAACCCGACACAGGTAGTAGTTCAGGAATTGAGTCCCAGTAATGTGAGGCAGCAATGCTAATCACTGTGTCACCGTCCCACCCAAAAGCGGATTATTTGTGTGCTATTTGTGTATTCCTGGTTCAGGAATCAATAATTCCTTAATTTTATTTTTTCACTGAAAGAGTACAAAAGTCTTTAACACCTTTTTATGAGGAAAAAGGTCAATACCACAGAAACACCACTGATTTGCTTTTTTAGAAATGAAACATGTGCATGCTTTCCCGCCTCAATCTTAGAATGTTGATATTGTTGAGTTAAAAATCAGTATTACGAAAGAGTGCATTTCCAAAATGTTTTAACAAGTTTGGGCATGGACAAAGATTTCAACTGGAAAGACAATTAAAATGACTGGGGTGGAATAAAAGCATATCGGTTTATAGGAGGCATGCATGTGGGTTGTTATTAATCTACTTCTGAAAAGATGCAGGACTGTTACACTGCCAAAGTTTGATGTGAAGAATGCACTCCAGGCCCAACAGGTACTGTAGATTGGGTTGTATCAACACATACAGGACTGCGGTAGGAGGGGGGGTCTTCTTGGAAATAACATGCAGGTTCAGGCTTCACCTGGGATTTGGGTAAATTAACTCCTAAGTGCACAAGTAATACATTTCTGCAGAATGCATTAATTGGAGTTATCAGGTCTATGCCTCATATCAAGTCTGAATTAATGGGTTGGAGAGTAGGCTACTATAACAAGCAAGACAGATCTCTAGGTGTCATGCTTCTCAAAACCTGCACACACTCTGCAAAGTTAAACATTTCCCCAACACCTTCCAAATTTTATCAATATTAAACTAGAAAAAAATACTTTAATATATGCTGAGCAACAGAGAATGACCAGGCCTGAATTATATAAATAGATGGAAGGCAGTATTAGGACATAGAATGAGTTTGACCTGTTTCTGCAGTCACCCCATGGTAATACATTGCAATGCATGAAGGGAAGATTATAACTAATTCTATTAATTAGTCTTCTACATTCTTTGTATACACTCAGAAGTTACAAATTAATTGGTACAGTATGGAACTTTGGAAAGAGCATGTTAAGAAAACATAAATGACATTGTGAAAAAATTTGTGGAGCTCACATGTTGACATGCTGTAGTGCTGGCTGTGCTTACTGCCCTGGGGTGTGATCTGGGCAATGGGCAACTTTTCCAGTGGAGACTCATGTCTGTCTCTGCCAACACTCATTTGTGCAAGGAAAAGGTGCCCTCTTTCACCCTGTCTGGATAATACCAAGACACAGAGAGAGTAAGAGCATCATAACCCAGCCATAATGTGAGTAATCACTGGATATGAACCTCAAGTGTTGGCTGTCCTTGATTGCTCACTACAAAAGCATCTCAGTACACCAACTTTTAGATATAGAGAAGAAGTTGCGGACCTTGATTCAGGAAAACATTGTACTGTATGCTGACTCTTCCATACAGTATATAGTCTACTGCATATAAAGTAGCATAGACTGTCACTCATATCATCATCAGTGATCTCCAGTCCAAGAAATCCCACCCATCTGTTTTCTAACCACTTTATCCAATATAGGGTCACAGGGGAGCCAGAGCCTGTGTGGGCAAGCAACAGGAAAAAGGAGAGGTATACTCTGGATAAAACCCCAGTCCATCACAGGGCACAACACGCACACACTAACACCAAGGCCAATTTTCCCAGAAAGCCAATTAACCTACCAGTATGTGCTTGGACTGTGGGAGAAAGCCAGAGTACCCAGAAGAAACTCACACAAACCATACAGACTCCACTCAGACAGTAATCGAACCCAGGACTGCAACACTGTGAGACAGCAATGCTTACCACTGCACCACTCTGCCACCCTCTTAAAAGAGCATCACTTACATGCTATGTAAAACCTCAAAATCATTGAACTTGCAAAGAAATTAGTGAGTAGGAAACAGCACCACATGTACTGCTACCAATCTTTATGGTCAGCTTTATAGGAAGGTTTTCAGACATCTGTTCCATCTAACTGTACAAATTCTCTTTGCTACTGTATGTAAATCGCTGAACCTTGACCTTATGTTTCATTGTTTTCTTCCACACTACCACTGGCTTAATGTGTGAAATGGAGAAGCACATGACAGTACAGTACCTTTGATATTTTTGTCTCTAAAGTAATCTAACTGTAATCAGGCATACATCACATTAAGCGGGTGCCTAATGAATGTATCATCCATTGCCCAACCAACAAAATTCTTTGAAAAAAATTCAAAAAAGATTCTTCTGTTTTTTATGTTGTGAAGAGTAACTCTTTTTCCAGGATCAGGGCTGAGTAACAGCAATGCCTTTGATGTTACATGTAACAGAACCCATAGTGACGTTATGACATTGAGGATCACTGCAGAGATCACTGTTCCTACAAGCACTTTAAGTATTGTATTTGTAGTGACAGCGACAGATTTTCTAAAATTCCAGTGTGGTCTATTATCTGAAAAACATTTGATACACTGGCATTCAGAAGTTCAAATTGAACATGTGGCATTTGTTTAAGAGAAAGGGAGAGTAGAGTGTTTAGGTACAGATAATGGAAACCAAAAAATGTAACTTTATGACCTCTTGCACCACAGCTTTATTAACCTCTGAATCAGAGGACTAATTAAAGCAGCAAGTTAAATTACACTTTTATTCAGTCTGAAAATATATTCCCCACACGCAAGTAATTACAACCAAAAACCTTTTGACTTTACAGACCAGCTGCAAATGATAACTTAAAGGTCTTGGATCTTGCAGTGAAGCTTCTGTCATGAATGAAAAAGCACTTGTCTGTGTTTAATCACTAGCACCAGGCTCGAAACATGAAGGGCTGGACCTTTTCTCACGTCAGAGCCTGTCAATGCCTGTCCTCAATCTGCAGCATAACAGTGGGTGGCAGATACTGCCTCGCCTGTAACCGGACCCCCTTCTGCTGTGAGTAACAGAAGTCCAGACTCTTCTCTGAATGAACTGCTTTCGTAATGACCTGGGATTTCACTGCAGCTGATTCACTGTTGCTCCATGTATTGGTAATTACCAGTATGTGCTACCATATACAGCACAGTGTACATACTGTATATAGGGTGAGAAATAAAGTACAGTATGTGCTATCAAACATACTGTACATCTAGTTCACAGCAAAGCAGAAAACTACATTAAATATACATGTGACAGTCATCTTGTTTATTCTATAGCATGTCTGGAGAGACTGCAACTACATTAGGATATTTTGACATAAATGAGGATGATTACATAATCAAGGACCTTTATTCACTAGGCTCTGTAATTCCAAAACTACTGTACATCACCAGAAAAAGTACAGAGCTCACACTTAAGAGCCAGGTATTAGTAGTAATACCCAAGCTTTTTGTAAATCCACAAAACTGATATTATATCCGTATGCTGCAACTTCAGTTCGCCAACAGTTTAACTGTACATTAGCTTTATTGTAATATTATCCAGAAATACACATTTTAAATCCAAAAGTTGATCAGAGACCCAGTGATTCTGGCAGCAGATGTGATGAAAACAGATCATTTCAATTTTTTTTATTTTTACAGAGGCAGAAGCCCCAAGCTAAAAGTTTGTCATGTGTCTGGGATATTGATGTTTTCTTTGCACTTTTCCTTCAGACTGAATTTGCGAGCATTAACAGGCGAACGCAGAAGGAATTCACACCATCACTCAAGACGCACCCCCTTGGCTTCGGCTCATTGAACTTTTCCCCATGAGACTTCCAGCAGCTGGGGCCAGGAAGTTGGCTGCCACTAACATTGTTTCCTCTCAGCCACCTGTTGAGCTGCTCCAGAGAGTAAACCCTTCAGGATATCGTAAGGACTTTAAAGCACATCTCTGATCTTAGAGAAGACCCTCTTTCTCACTCAGGGCTAACTATACAATAACTGCATGCCATGACACAGCTGTGCTATGAACAATTCCATATATACAGTACCACCATGGAATGAGTCTTGTCTCATGATAACATTACAGATGAAAGGGAAGTCCAGAAACATTTTATTTTTGAGACATGATTGTGAGACAAGGAGTCCTGTCTCATGTAAATGAGCAGTATGTGATGGTGAGCTACCAGCTCAACCATTGAATGTGCTACCCATTGAAGATGTGGTTAAAAAATTCTGTTTTGGGATTGAAAAAACACAGGAATTGCATAAATTAGGGTTACTACCGTAACATCTGCAAATTCCATTTTTGATTTTATTACTGACTCTTAAAATATATATTGCAGAGAAATAGTAATGTGAATGTTTGAAAAGGGCATTGAATGAAAAGAAAGCAATAACTTAACCCAAACCCAAAGCCACAGGCTTTAGTCATAGTATAATGAATACAACTTTATACATGAAGCTTTGAAAATGAACGCTGTCATGCAATATTAAATTTGTCAGAAGCCAATGTACTGCTTGCTAAATTTCTGCAGCCTCTGTGGTGACATTACTGCTGTGATCCATTCAGCATGTCGGGGTGGCGTAGACTGTTTCCAGTTAAATGAGACAAGGCACACACTCAAATAAACGTAGGAGTTTCCAGCTGCAATTTTTACTGGTAAATATTGGCTGCTAACTGTAAGCAGAAACGCAAGTGAGAGAGAAACAACGGGTGACTAAATGCTTATAAACTTCAAAAACTCCACCTCAGGCTACTGACAATCCTATACCACACCAAGCCCTAACATGTTGAGTTTACAAAGAATATTTGGCAACATTTCGATACACTATGTCTACAATATAGAATCTAATCTAATACAACTTGCACTTTCCTTTTTTAATTTGTGCTTATACTGTATATAACAACCAGAAAGCTTATAATGAACTCCATTCTTTAACTTCAAATATTTTTAGCCATGTTTAATAACTATTTTTAGCAAAATATTCTTTCTAGATGTAAAAATATAATGTTTAAACTTAATAATCTCCTAATAAACGTTGTGATATTCATTTTATCTCATTTAAAAACAATAGTAGATTCATCATGTATGCCAGATCTCATCAACCCTGTTTTGTGTAACTGAATTTGAAGCAATAATATAATAAAATCAGTTCCAAAATGAACTGGCTAGTCAGAGTTTGGTTCCCATCACACTTTATCTCCGAATTTGCTGTTGCAGGTCCAATTAGGTTATCCAGATCCTCATGTGCTTTGTCTAACGTCATCGGTACTTCGAGGCAAATCTCAGCAACAGGTGACATTAGAAACCAGTTAAGAGCAACTAGCTTTTGTGTAATAATTTATGTTTTGTGTTTCAGGCATCAGTTAAGAATATGTTTTATCCATCTGCTTAGTTTATCCCAGGACTCAACACCAGTGCATTTTCATTTGACTCAGTTAAGTTACATTATCATATAAAGGGATATACAAAAGTAAAGAAAATCTGAAAATAATGTTCTGTATTGTTATTGATACAGAATTAATTTAGATCACATACCTTCTGGAAGTTTTGATCAGGATTTCCCTGCATGAGCCGAACGCATGAAACCACCATGAGATGCATTATGATACAAGAATGAGTCTTCATTGTTCCTTCGATCTCCAGTAAGTGTTCTATTCCAGAACCAGTCAGACAGGCATTACATCTCCTTGTAAAAGAAAACTCAACTCTGCAGACTGATGGCTGGTGCACTTATCAACTCATTAGAATGGATAAGAATGGATTGGCCTTGCAGTTATAAAATCCTAAAAAATTAACAAAAAACTGATTGCTAAAAAAAAAAACTAAAAAAAAAAACTTTTCCAAGTCAGCTACCAAACCTCAGGCAGTGGAATATTTGAATCAGCACATCATCAGCAAAAGGCAAATCATCAGGAAATTTTGTTCAGGAATAAAAAAGTAAAGCTTTGATCAAAAAAATCCAGCACTCTTTGATTTACTGTGTAACCTGGTATGCAATTATTTCTCAATTTTCATAAAACAATACTGCAGTTTTCTCCTTTTTAAGAATTTCTTCTTTGGTGCAGAGAGTGGTATTTCAATGGCAAAGATTTCCGTCTTCAATACTTTAATCCAGTAGCGCTATATTTTCCTCAATACACAGACTTTGTGGAATCAGAGAGAAGCATGTGTTTTAAGCGTAACCCAGAGTTTAGCAGACTTCAGCAGTTAAAAAATCTGGCTCTAATCCCACCCAAGCCCTTTTTTTCAGCAGCCAATAGGAGATGGGAATCTGAATCATTCTCAGTGTAAGACATCATTCTTCTACAGCAGAAGTGAGCCTGAAATATGAAACTTCCACAGCCTGGAAATTACTGGTCTAACCAAGAACTATTCAATAAAGAGTTAATTACACAACAACTCAAATTTACTGTTATAAAAGAATTGTGTTAATATAACTGTGTTAATATAATTCTGTAAATATATAACATAATATTTACTATATGAAAAAGATATAATATTTAAGTAATTAAATTAACAGTCATCCCATCTTCAGTTTTCAACATTTAAAGACATCTTACGTTATATTCACTAAAAATTTTAAAAACCTTTAAAGCGATACCCAGTATCACTCTTTAATTACACTGCAGTTTACAGATCTAATCTTGCATTTAAAAGCTCAGTATAGTGACCTTACTTAATTATAAATAAGCATAATAATGTGTAACACAAAGTTAAAATCATCACATGGTGAACACATGACTGAACGTTTTTATTTCATCTCCCTCTTCAGTAGCTTTTTAATTTAGTTAACTCTTAAACATCTTGATACCACCTTGGTGCATTTCTAATGTATTGTAAAAGTTCTTGATTCATTTATAGCAACAACCACCAAATATGACAACTTCAAAATACGATCAGCAGAAAGTGTACTGCGTGGCATTCAAAACACAACAAATGATTTTGGTTCAAATACTTATTTGTTCATTTTAATGTCTTTTAGCATACATTTATTCAGTTTCATGAAAATGGCTGGATGACATTCTTGGATCAATTGACTACCAACTACCAAGGAGGCTAGATAGGCTGAATAGAGCAAGCACCCAGATATGTTGCTTCTCTACATAATCACAACAATTAACACAGATACGGTCATACACAACATTATGTCGGTAAAAATGAAGCGTTCCAAGTTCATGGTCAGAATCCATGACTAATATTTCCTTCTAATGATGTGAACTGCAGCGCTTTATTGATTGTAAGCTTTTTTTAAAAATAAGGGAAGCATGGAATTTAATGTCTGGATAAAGGCAATCCATTTTTACTAGGTAATGTTTATTTCAGAAGAGCAGTTAATTAACTATATTGGTAAATTTAGATATACCGATGAACCTAGACAACACGTCTGTAGACTGTGGGTCCAAATTGATGCACCAGGTGATAGTCCACATGGAGAGCTTGCAAATTCCATGCAGAAGGCACCCCAGGCCAGAATCAAACCCATAGAACCCCTCACCTTTCAACACATTAATAAATACAAAAATGAATAATATCCAATTCTATGTGTATTTATTCCTTTCCAGATGAGCAGATACAGAATTTATATTGATCTGAACTTCTCTGTCTTAAATATCTGTTTGCAGCTTTTACACACACACATATAAGTATTACTTAGTAATCGCTTTCTCAGCTTGATACTCAAAATTATGCAGTGACAAAGGTATTCACATGTCGCGAATCTTAGACTGCCAAGTCTTAGCCTTTTCAAACCCATTGGTCCCTGATCGATAATCACTGATTGCTTGTAGTATTTCTTCCTCTGTGTTCATTACAAAAGGACCTAGTGGAAAATAATAAACATAATTATAACATTTGCAAAACAACGAGTTTAACGGGTTAAAATGGTTGGGAATCAAATCACATCAAATGAGTTTTCTATGCAGCACAGCGTTTAAATTAATAAGTATAGAAAATGTATTTAAAAATTGGTCAGTTGACCAATACTAACTACTAAATACTAACTCTTTGGCTATGTGGGCCAAAATGTCTGCTCTCCTTTGCACCTTTTCTCACGGTCTTATGTTGTAATCTAACAGCATGCCATTGGGAGATGGGACGAAAACATAAGACAGTGCTTAACTCCACTGCCAAGTATTGCTGTTTCAACATTGCAGGATAAAATGAATTAATCAGATTAGCTAAATCTTAATGCCAATTCTGTTGCTTACCATGTTGTACTACTGGTTCTTTGATTGGCTCCCCAGCAATTAGTACAAAGTGGGCCACTTCAGTATCCTGAAAACAAAATCAAAATGACTACATATAGCAACCAATAGTCTTAATGCATTCAAGGTTCTATTCCTAAATTTGCACTCATGTTGTGCAGTATAAACCTGTTTTGCTAAAGGCCCTACTCAATTATTTGTAGCAGATCCTTTCCCAAATACGACTACGACTTTACAAGTAGAAACATTAAAACATGTAGAAAACATGTCTGAGTATGTTGGATAACATCCAGGCAATTCCTAACATAAAATATTTTAATTTCTTTACGTTAGGAGGCTTTTCACCTGGCCCTAATGTGACAGACTGGGGAGTGTCAAAAGGTTCAGATTTAACAGTGCTGTACGCCATTTCCAATCTATAATCTATACACAGACACAAGTTTCTGGTGAATTAACTATTTTAAGACACATGGTGTGGATATTTTACGTTTGTAGATGTATGGAACTGCACAGGATTCCAAAAACATGTTCTCACAATCTTTGCTTTAAATTATTAACTAAAGATCTTAACCAATTTATGTAGGGAAAATGGGCATTGAATAAGTTTAGAAGAGACATCAACACTCTAAAGACCTCAAAGTATGTTTTAACAATATTATTCACATTTAATAACCTAGGATGCTCAAGTATTGAGAACGGGTTAACATGCAGGAAACAGCATCATCTTATGGGTCACAGCTTTTGGCTGGGCCTGTTGCTGTTCCTGATCTACTGTATTGCAACAATTTATACTTTAACACAGCTATGCTATAAAAATAAGCAGAGTGTCAAAACAGCAGCAGCCAAAATACCAGCCAAAGAAATTATAAAGAGACTTAAACAAAATCATGAACAGGGCAGATACATTGCAAATGAACATGTACTATGTATTTTGCACAGGCGTCTAAGACCTGCAGAAAGTGACACATTTATGTCAATTCCACTTTATCCTCACCATGAAATTGCTGGAAAGCAATAAAAATGTTTGGGTTATATAACAAACGACCAATATAAAGTGTGAAATTGAAATATAGTGAGGTTCTACTAATGCTTAATGGTCGAGGGCCAAACCCTTAGCACTATAGGAACAGTTGCATAAAATATTAGTTTCACTTAGCCACTAAACTACCAAACATGGGAGGCAGGCTGAATAGTCTCCTCTCATTTGCATGTGTTACTATTCTTATGGTTATTTATGGTGCACAGCATTTTTGAACAAGAATGTGCTCACATAATTCAGTCGTCACCTTCTTTAGAAAAAGGTCAAGGTTTAGCTATCAGTTAAACCAGTTTAACGCTGGTAACACACAGGATTGAAAGCTGGCCTGCACTTCAACATTCTCACACGTGGTGTGGCTCTTCTGCACCTAGCCGACTGAATCACTCCATACTCATTCCATGGTACTTCATTCATCCTTGACAAATTGACAAGGAGGATCTTACATGAAACCTTACAACATGCACTTCTACAGACTTCCCCTGTAATGCCCCAAGGCTTGAAATTCCTTTGATAAGATCAGACACAGAGACTCAATTACTTCCTTCAATGATTGCTGACAGCCCACCTATTTGAAAATATCTTGTTTCTACTTGGGGACCTTATTCAACTCCAGTGCTTTGAAAAAGTATTCACCCCTTTCATTTTGTTAAATGTACTGTATACACATAATTGTCTCATACATATTTTAATCAAAACATGAGTGTTCAAACTAAATACATTATATGTGAAACAAAAACTGCAAATAAGTTTTAAAAATATGTTGATCTGAGTTATCGAGTTCCTGATAAACTTAAATATGATGAAGCCCGTCTAAAGTCTTTTTTTAAGATTTCCAAAACTAGAGAAACACTAAAGGAAAAAGCTTTAACAAATGAAACATTATAGGAAAAAAGTGAAGATAAGAATTTGAATGTTGTACAGAGTATATTCCAAGAAATGTTACCTTGTTTTCAACCTGCACAGTATCTCCGTCACCAAACACAACAGTGTAATGAGGTTCAAATTTTTTCTGATCATCATCAGGACCTCCAAAAAAAAACAACAGCCAATGTGAAATAAAAAATCTGCAATATTTGTTTTGTGAATATTTTTGGTTGTACTGTACTTAAAAATTTTAAATGAAAGCTAAATACAATAAGATGAAACATGCAGTAGTGAGGATTGTAGAGTCTTCCAACTTACTCCTGCAGAAAACAGTGGTTCTCTGTATTAACGACCTAATTTAGAGGTTTTCCATTGCAATAAAGTTATAATTACAATGTCTATTTACCTCATTTTAAAGTAAATAATATCATAAAACATGTAAAGAATTATACAAAGAATTATGCAAAAAATCTCTAGGGATTGTGTTGACTGGGAGATGTGTTGTTTTTGGGATAGGACCAAATGTAACATTTGACATTTAGACAAAAGACTTCCAATTTCACATCTGACCACAACACCTTTTCCACGTTTTTACAGGATCACTCAGTGTTCTCTTGAAAACTCCACTTGGCCACACAGGTCAGCTTTGTGGAGTGACTGGGATATTGTGGACTGACACACATCGTCTTCCTTCTCTGCCATTGAACTGTGTAGCTCTTTCAAAGTTACATTATATTATTGGATTATTAGTTGTTTTATACATTTCTCCTGATATGTGCTTTTGTAGAATTTTATCCCTGAGCTATTCTAAAAACTATTTGTTTTTCAATGTTGAATTTTTGCTTGAAACTCACTACCTCACTGAGGAACCTTACAGAGATACTGTAGGTGTATTTATTCTGGAATAATCTGAACAAATACTGTATTTTTGCACACAGACAAATTTTGGCAGAGATAGATTCTGCTCAGTTAATTGTGTGGTTTATTAATGTAATTTTGTGTACCTACATTAATTTAAAAGAGTTTTAATGATTCTGCAGTCATGACTTTTCAGTTTTTCTTTCATATTAAATGAAAGATTTCCTCGTTGTTTTTTATTTAAATGTGTGGAATACGTTGTGTATGTAAAAAATATTAATTGCTATTTATAAACATAATTTTTGCAAGTTTTAAGAGATCAAAATGTGAAAACTATTCAATAGTCTGAATACTTTTACAAGATGTACAGTATTTATACATTTATAGTTGTATTCTACTGACTTTCTTTACACTCATTAAAAAGCTATATAATCAAGTTAGAGTTGCTTTCTATTTTTACAAGTGGAAGTATATAGATCATAAATTCAATGAATGGTTATTCTATACTAAGCGCACACATTTCCTTAAATAACCATCTATCGCAAAGCAAAGACACCTAACACTACAATTTCTTTTCTATTATTATAATTTTGAAGCCATGAGCTCACTGTAATTCAACAGCCTTTATTCTAAACAACCCATGGCAACTCATTAAACTGTAGTTAACTGTAGTTAAACTGTAGTTAACTGTAGAAACGTCAGTAGAGAAAGTGACATTTCAAAACTTTTGAAATGTCATCTTTTAAAATGTCATCTTAATCTTAAATTTGTTTTTTTTTTAAATGTGGAAAACTGAAGTAACAGCCAATAAACACACCTGCAAATACAGTATAATTATTTAACATAATTCAAGTTTTTTTTTAAGCAGAAAGACAAAACCATAAAGGAAAAGCTTAAAAAGGACAAAATCAGGAATGCTGTGGCCTTTTAGGCTTCACATGTCAGTTTTACAGTATATTTAGTATTGGAATAGCTTAGCCTTGAAATAAAAATAAAATAAAATCAGTCAATGAATAACTCCAAACTACAGAATTTCTTAAAGAGGCCTGCTTTCAGATTTTGACTTTTGGATTCACTCAATTATTAAGGAAAATGAATTTGAAAAGAACGTTGTGAAATTAATTTCTAACATGATCCTCCGTGATGGAAACCAATCTGATTTTTTATCTCTCAGCATCAGGGGAAATTTATTGTGTCCATGTGATGATGGCCAATCATCCGTCAATCCATTTACTAAGTGATCTATGCAATACAAGGTTGTGGGAGAATGGGATCCTATCCCAGCACAAAATGGGTGCAAGGCAGGATGCAGATAGCACCCCGTATTGCACCACCGTGTTGTCCTGTGGACTATCACACTGCGATGTCATTAGTTTCAGCGACAAAGATCACGGGATTAGGATGGTGAAAAAGCACCGTGTGGATTCTCCCCTCAGTCTACTGAACTGAACAGGTGCCTCTGCTGCTCAGGGTGACATTAGTGCCTTAGGTTTACTTAATCAACCATTTCACTAACAAGGTTAGCAGACTGAAAACTAGATTGGGCCTGGTGGGGTGAGAGAAGAGTATCCGTGGGGAAAAGTTATAAAACTGAGATTATTTATTGAAATTAATAAACAAGAAAGTTTACTTATAGACATACAGTAGAATGTTCACTTACCAACATGAATATTTCCAGAGAGTGTATAAATAAAAGCAGTCCACCCTAGTGAGAGTTAAAATTGTTAAGAAAATTTTAAAGTAAAAGGCAGAAGGAGAAAAATATGTTATTTATTTCAAAAATACTCTACTGCAGGGCAATAATTTTATCCAACCAGGGGAAGTTCAGAATGTTCATATTTAATATTTTTATGAATGTGAAAGAGGAAAAGCTTATTTTAGAGAAGGACAGAAAAATGAGTCTATATTAGGTCCCTCTCCATGTATTAGGTACTGTATAACATAATACAGTGGTGTCCCAGACAACTGGAGAGCTTCAGTCCATCAGGGTTTGTACTGTAGGTACAGTAGCCTTCAAATCATCAGTTTTTAAAGGTCTGGAACAATATAACTGTAATCAATTTAACAGGTCTGGAACGGAAATCAGAATATCCTTCAGCCTTCAAGAACCAGTGTTCCCTTCATTGAAGCGTTATTTGCTTTCCTGCCCAGACAGTTGTTCCCAGTCTTTAAATAACAGATTATCTGCGGTGGCCTATAAGAATGACTGGATAGAGCTCTCCAAGACCAGGAACTGAAAACCTACTGTAGATTTAATGTATATTAATAAGCCAACTCTTTATTTCAGTTGTGCGTTTTCCACATCTTGGCTCATGGCTGCAAACTCTGCAACTGCACATGAGGGTGAAAGACACAGGCAGCCTCCCCCCCTTCCCAACCTTCGAGACACGCGCCTCCTGACATGTGACGACTGAAGCAGAGGAACATCTTTGTCCTCTGGCACCATGAGCAAGTCAAAGGGAATCTGCAGGGGTCGCTGTGATCCCCTGACCCAAGAGAGAGCAGGGGACCAAACCCACCCAACCATCGGGGGAGCTCAGTCAATTCTTCGCTGCCATTTGGGAAATCCCAGTCGGTCACATGGAGGTAATGATAAGACCTAGCCTCAGCTGCAACTCCTAGATCCCATATTAGATACTGTACTTTCTTAAAATGAGCTATTAGACCCTTTTATCTTTACATATTATCCCATCTAAAAGTCTGGAGCTCAAAATAATTCATACTGTATATATTTTAAATTAAGAAAGTATATTTGACCAATTTCAGCACTTGCTACAGAATATATTTTTAAAATAGTTATTAATTTATTATAAATACATTGATATAATAATACAAAATGTCATTTTACATATACTGTAGATAAACAATCCATACCTAAGACTGTGTAATTTGGATCTGAGCATTAAAAGCAAACATTTTTATAGAGTTCCTCTTCGAGTTACCAGACACTATTCAATTCAATCATCTGACGCCTTGAAGGATAATGAGATAGGAACTTTAGGGGGGAAACCGTCACAAGACAGGATGAGAGAAAATCCAATGGAGAAGGCAGAACCAGACAGGATGAAAAAGAAAAATGCTCCAAGTATGTAAGGCAATGGGATTAGTTCTGAAGGGATAAAAAGGACAAAATTGGAACAGGAATTAAAGGAAAGCAGTTGCTGTGACAGCAGTGGAACAGAACTAAGATTATATTATAATACCACCCACAGTTACCCACAGTTAGTAAAGTTATAAAGCATTTTTGTTATTTCACATAATGTAAAGCATATGACATGATTTGTCTTCCCACAACTATGTAATGTATTAAATATTTATTTCAGAAATCATGAATTTTTAAGACACTGGGCAAATATGAAAGGGTTATTAGTAAAAAGTGAGTAAAAAATATTTATTGATATGTACAATTATTAACATTGTTAATATATGAACAGAGTTAGATAGGTTAGATAGGTTTAAGATGTAATGATGGTAACAACAGCCTAAAATAACTCTGTTATCATAATAATTCTGTAAGTATTGGCTGGAGTATACCACTGCTAGATCATAAATATTAACATTAGGTCGCTTAATTACTTGTCTAAACAAGAAAATCAAACTTGTTATTTTATTAAAGCAAATCGTACACTGAGGGTCACAAATAAATATTGTAATTTTTCAGGTTTTAAATGAACAAGAATAAGAAACAAAATCAGAATTATAATCTTGCAGGGTCAATGCCAAACACTGATTCATCTTTTAAAATGAGATAGCTTAAACCATTCTGTAAGCTAGTTTGTCCATGGGATATGATTACTTCATGTGAAATGGGAAACTCCCAACCTCCCAACAGTTGTGTGATGCCGTGCAGGCAAGTGCTTCAAGAGATGTAGTCTCATATGGTTTGCTTCCAAAGCTTTCCCTCTGCCTAAAATGGCAATCTGTAACTGGAACAGGCATCAGGTGCACATCCTACTCCAGTGTGAATAAACAGAGGGCCGAATGAGGAAGGAGATGGCGATGACCAGGAGTAGCATTTTAAGGGTCAGATCACCCCAGCATCTGCCTCCAGGCTGAGGGTTTTTCTTATTTTTCTCATGGCTTTAGTTCCAGCTTCCAGCTTTCTGCTACAGCACGCTCTATTTATTTTCCCAACTTCCCAGGGTGCCAACTGGAACAGCCTTTTTTTTGCTACTGCACAAGGCTATCGTAAAGATCAGTTCATAATTTATTGTTTCACTTTAAATTTTGTGTGTGTGGTGTGTCTGTGCTCGGGGGCCCCACCTAGAACCTGTGCCCCTCTTGAGAGCCGCCCCACATCACTGTTGATTATTTCTTCACTCTTAGGTATGAAAGTTACATTGTATACAACAAAGAAAAAGGAAAATGAGCCGCAAGGTAACACAATCCTGAAACACACCAAATCCACGTGACTTTATCGTTCACCCTTTACCAGTTAGTAATGGTAACCTCTGTGCAATGGTTACTACACTGGCACCGTAGTGACCTCTTTGAGATGCTGGGCAACAGCGCACTTCACAACAAGACACTCCCTCTCCCTATAATTTCATTGTGTGGGTGGGGGCTTGTACAGTAGCTGCAGTACTCGGTGGTCCCGCACCTCCCTCAATTTACTGCAGACAGTCCAGCTCCTAGTGCTTGTACTGGTCTGTAGGAAGAACCTGCTGGAAAAACTGGGGAACACAAGTACAGGCTCTGTACACAGGCTGTACACAGGCTCTGTTTAAAGTGCCTCCAGAGTCCACCTAACAGCCCTTTAAGGATCTACTGTAGCTCTTATGTTGATTTCCTACGATGAAATTATTCAGCTGTCCCCCAGAAAGTGGTCTGTTGTTACGGTGGCTGGTATAATGTCTTTCTTTTGTAACTGACTTGCCATACCTGTCTTCGCAAGGAAGCTAGCTGCATGGCTTCAAACAAAAGTTAATAAATCCCCAATAAAAACAGCACAAGAATACTGACACTGTAGTGCAAAGGGAAAAAAACAGGGTTCTTATGTTTTAGAAGACTGCGGTGTTCCCAAATTCCCTTTCAGACTTTCCATGGCAAACACATAACTAGAATCCCAATCAGGATTTTCAGACAACATTTTTCTCATAGTTTTGCACCTGTAACCACACGAAGAAGGGAAAAAGTACACGTTCTGTTTTGTTACACTTTAAAGTTATAAAAAATTATACCCTTAGGGTATTTTTCTTCCTCTTTTTTAACCTTAATTGCTCAGAGATCAGCAAGGCACAACTAACCAAAATCAATTTAAGCAATAAAAGTTAGCTTCTCAATGATATGAATAAAGGAAGATGTACAGTATAGTCCTAGGGACATGATAGGGACAAGATAGGGACAAGAGTGACGTCACTGTAAGCTTGCAAAAAAGACATGAATACATGACAGCAAGGAAAAAACATTTACAGTACAGTACTTTTACTATTGCAAATAAAGGTATTTATGAAAAAGATCTTAGACATTGTCCATTAGGATAAAAGCTGAGTTGAAAAAAAAATGCAGATTTGCTGTATCTGAAAATCTCTGGAACTGATTCTGGCAATTTCCTTACAGCCAGTCTGACAAGTCATCTTTAATGAATTAGTTTCTTACCACAAACGCAATCGAAGTGTCTAGTTGCAAAGAAAGGAAGTCTTTCATTCAATATACAAAAACGACATTTTAATAATATGCTTTTTTATATAAAAGTTATCTACGATTATCAATCTGCCCTCCATCCACACAGAAATTCACCAGTGACATCGAAATTTTAAATAAATAGAGTAAATAGGACATAGAGTGTGACATTTTTTAAATTTTAATTAAAACAGATTTTAATTATTTTTTAGTGGAAATCAATTTTTAGTTCACTCCTTTGTGTTTTCACTGATTCAGTGACTATTATTTTAAATACTAATTAACTAATTACTATTTGATTTTGATATATCATATATTATTTAGTAATTTTATAGTCTTACCTAAAGGAACTGCTTGGACATGCTTTGCTCCAGGCTCCAGTTTAAAATCGAGATATATGGTTGGAGTCCTTGTATAGATTTTTGACTGAAAAAGAAAAGGCAAAATAAGAAATAATTCCTTAGCACATAATTTCTCATGTATAATTTGCTAAGAAAGCAAAAAAAAAGGTTAAGAGGTTAAAAAAAACAATGTGAGGAAGGTTCTTGCTGGGCTGATAAGATTGCAGTTATGTAGTGAGAAATACTGTACAACTCCTGTGAAGATAATATGATTTTGATGGGCAGCGCACTCTGCAAAATATGTTTAAATTTGCATTGGGGACCATGATCTCCTTGTGACATGTTATCTTTTATTGCATGAATTAAACAAAAAACACATTTCCAAATACGTACACAACAGAAACTATGACAGTTTCCTAATTAGCAAAACAGAATTATTAGCCTATTTGCAGCAGGCAAAAAATATTTTACAATCTGCAACAAAAACAAAAACATTTGAAAATCATGTACACTGTTTATTTGGCATTAATCATAATATGTATTTATATATTATAAATAATTAATCAGAATATTTTTTAAATAATATATTGATACTCTTTTCTCAATTAAGCAATTTTACATGAAATCATTCGTCACATGTGAAAGAAACCATAATCGAGTCTAGATGGAACCATTTGGACGTGAGCACATATTTAGTTGGTAAAAATAGAGCTTACAAAAGTATTCAGACCTTTCCTAATGTTACCCGCTTATAAAAATGACAAAATAAAGTATCCTTCCATTTTCTAAACATTTTATCTAATACAGAAGTGCCTATCTACAGTATCTAATACAGAGCAACAGGCACAAGGCAGGATCCACTGTGGTCAGGACGCCAACGTGGGAGACACATAGACAGAAACACACACAGTCACACCAAGACCAGTCGGAGATAGGCTCCAGCTCCCCCGATGACCCTGAATTGGAAGAAGCAATTAGAAAATGGATGGATGGACTCTGAAAGACATAAACTTAAAACCAAAAGGGTTGTCCTCCACTGATGCACATGTTACCATTTTCATTTTATCCCATTTGTCTCATGTGACTATCCTGGATCGGTTAAGTAATTTATTATGCTTGTCATTTAGATTTTTATAGACCATATTAGTCGGTACTGTAGTTGGCATTAGTATTGTGTCTGTAGCCTTTAATAAACCTTGTGAACTTTATTAAACTCTGTGAACTACATTGCACTGCTCCTATCTTTATGCAACCACAACCCAATATGATTTTATTTTTTTAAATGTGAACTGTTCTCACTTAACACTGAATTTCCTTGTCTGCTTAACCAGCAGAAAACTGTTACACCTTGATGAGCCACAGCTCACAGCCCTCGGTTTCCACGGTAAACAGCCACATTTTCACGAGGAGTTGAACGCTTTCCAGTGCTGTGAGGACTTTTTTGGGCTGGTTGTCCCAGCCACCTTCTCACACCTAACGGTCTGATCATCCCATCAACTCCTGGATATTTAAACGCTGATCTGCCTCCAGTCTGGTGCTCTGTCATTGAGTTTCCTTCTCCTCCAGGAAAGTGCTCGTAGCACATACTGTCCCGGTCCACCTAAGAGAAGGATGATCTACCCAATTTAGTACGTCTATCCATGTTTCAAACGACACTGCCAGCCCGCTACCCGTCTCCCACCTATTCCCACTACAGCCCAGCTTTGAACCAGATAAGCAGAGTTGCAGAACCCCAACTCTCCTGCCTTGCTTGGCCACGCAGCTCCCCTGCCCTTCTCTGCCCTGTTAGTGTCACGGATGTCTCAAGGGACGAATCGTGGAATGGCAGGAAAGTAATAAAGACCCTATGCTTAGCGGCGAGATGGGGGTTAGCCTGGGCTCAGCTGATCAGGAAATGCCGTATAGAAACCTATGCCCTCAGGCCACAGACAGGAGCGACCTGGTGCTAGGCGAGTCTCAGGACATCTGAACGTCAGTGCTGAGCGAGGAGCAGAGCAGAAACAGGAAGTAAATAGGCTACACAACAAGACACCAGAAAGACATGAACAATCACAGGGAACTAGGAACAGGAGAGAAGCAGAGCGCCCTCTAGGTGTACTGGGCATGACAGTTGTGCAAAGTCTTCAGCCTAGCTGAACAGTGCATATCTTGCTCGGCTCTCTCCACTCGCTCTCGTTTCTCCTCGTTGGCTCACTAGGATTAAGTCCTTGGGCTCTTTGGCCTGTCCAGCCGACACGCCTTCTCATATTTTACCACTGCACCACAACAAAAACTGAATAGTGATGACAATATGTGTCACTTTTACACTTTCAGATATGCAGTAATGATTAAGTCACTGTGAATATTAAAAGCTTTTTTAAAAAATATATAAATGTATATAATTTGTTTGCAATTTCGACAATAAAAGAAATTCTAAATTTATGCTGGCTGATCATGAAATACAGTTTTTTAAGTACAGTATGTAAACCATACAGTAGGCTTTTTAGTTTCATATTTTTTCAGTATTTTCAAAGGCAACGAGTACTAGGAATAACTTTCATAAAAAGGTTTGCTCATCCATCCATTATCCAAAAACTGGTAAGATTTAGAACAGCCCTTAGTCTATCTCAGAAGTACATAGTGCGAGGTGGGACTAAACTGTGCATATGATCTCTCTAGGGCATCACAAGACACACAAGCATACAGGGACAATTTAGAGACAAAAAGTGACCCAACCAGCATATGTTTAGGAGGTGAGAGAAAACTCATGTTAATACCGGAGAATATGCACACAAAAAGCCACCCCTATATGAAATCAAACCCAAGACCAAAAGGGCTGCGAGATAAGAGTGCTAACCACCATGCCACCATTCTGTCCTAGACCTGGTTTAAAAGTGTTAAAACCATGATATGAACAGTCCTTGGAAAAAAGAGAAAAGTAAATCTTTGATTTGTTTGTGTCACTCTTATATGTTACAAACTAAAAGACAATTCAGCATGTCTCCTCAGACTATAACCTCTAGGTATTTTATCTCTATCGCAGTATGAAATTCTTATTTTTGAAATTCTAACTTTTGGCAGAGGTACGTAAAAAGATGTCTAAACGTAGACAAATTTTGTGAACAAGGTACAGTTCACATAGAAGTAAATGAAAACTAAATTAGTTTCTTCCTGAATGAAATATCTTCTTATTTGTGTAAAATTTGAGCATTTTATCTTAGGAAACAGTCAGATTAAAACTGGAACTGCTCAAGTGTATTCTTGCAACGTATGGTTTAGAATTAACTGACCAACAGCAACTATATCTGTGTACATCAACAATGCACATAAAAAAACACTGACTAAGTGGTATTTAGAACCAGTATGAAAGAATGAGTTACACAAAACAAAGCATATGGAATAAATAAATTTTCCTAAACAATCTATGTCTACCCCCTTTCCTAAAAAGATACTATCGTTTTGTTTGAATAATGAAAAACATCTTAAATGTGAAACTCCTTAGCATTCCTTGCATGCTAAGCTTTTATTTGAGACTGCTATCAATTATGTCTACTAAACCATTACCACATGCATTCTGCAGTTCATAAAGACATTGTCATTGCTTTTTTTTTAAAAAAGAGACCTTGTGAATTATACAGCATGTAGTGTTACTACAGCAGAAACCATCACTTTCCCTGCAGTCACATTCACTTGCACAATTGTGTACTGGATTGATGACAAAAATGTACAACAAAACAGATGCTCTCAGGCAATGCATCAGAAAACAGTTATAATGTGGGATTACAATGCAGTGTTTACAATCTTACAGTACTTAGAAAAGACTGCTAAACCACTCAGCAACCCTCTAAGCAGTCTACACTGTCTGGATCAACAGTGTTCATTCTATTGCTGCATTCTAGATTCCATTAACCTTTGCCTTTTTCAATCCAGTTGAACATTTCTGAGAAAAAGCTTTAATCTGTCAAACTTAATGTAGCCGTTAAAAAACTCATGATTTATACAGTACTTAATTTAAACACCCAAATACAGCCTTGAAACCTAAACAAGCTTTATCTGTTTGAATTATGATCTAATCTCCCAATTAACAAGAGTTGAGTCAAATCTCCAAAATAATTTTTCACAAAATGTGAATAAATACATTTCAGTACTGGCATATTGACTTATTATTCAATAAATCAAGGTCCTCTGGACAGCTTAGATTAATGGAAATAGTGTTACCATACCAAAAATTAATTAAAAACATAAATAACTAGTAAACTACAAGCTGTTTGGAAGCCAGTACATATACATTTATTTTAACAGTGTGAGTGAAATGCAAATAATGGCGCAATTTTAATTATACCTACTAAGTTTGCAGTTCAACAGTCAAACAGTTCTTGAAGAAGAGCCATTAAAGGTACAAGGTATGTTTTACCAAGCATACAGTATGATGACCCATTGATGGCATAAACATTTATTGCTGCAACAAGTGAGGCACCAACCTGAAACAGCCTTTAGAGTGATGAAATCTTCCAAATTTCAAGTCAAGGGTAGCGGTTCTTAAACCACTTGAATTTTGACAACACAATAGTGACCAAGCAGCTATCTTGGTCTTAGAGATTCCTATTTCAACATTTTAACATTATTTTCATGAGAATTATATTCCAACATAATAGTGTACGTCCCAAGTTTGGAGCAGTTTGTCATAACCATGTTGATAACAGAACAAAATGGCTCTCAGGCAGACACAGTGACTGAAATGAGAGCTACTGTAGGAACACTAGTTCACCGTTCTGTAATTGCATTGCGCAGCAGTTCCCAAGTCAATGGTAGTGTGGGTTTCGCCAACAAAATGGTGGTCAGGTGGCTATTAACATTCCCGATGGAAGCTATTAGGAATCATATTGCCGCTAGAATGATATCAACCAAGGTTGGACCTACTTTGATAAAACAGTCCTCAAACAGGAGTGATTCACCTACAATGATCACAATTTGCAAAGCAGTTCATCACCTAATGTAAGTGAGGAAGCAATCACAGAAACCTGAAAATCTGTGCACTTGTGTCATACCAGCTCCAATGGGAATGCTGATTTGCTCACCCACAGCACCATGGCAACCAGCCAAGCTTCTACTCAAACTGTCAACTGGTTACTGTGACGACACAATCAGGATGAAGATCAATCCTACCTGTGCGCATTTAACCTTTTACCTTTTATTTAAGATCAGCTGCTTTATAGGTCTTAGGGGCTGAGTTCTGGCCAGGAGCATGTTGTGCATGGTGTTTGAACATTTACCCAGTGTTGTGTGTGTTGTGTGGGTTTTCTCCAGGTGATCTGTTTTCTTCACACCTTCCAACAGCACACTGAGTAGATTAATTGTTGTCTCTAAACTCTGTAAATGTGTATGTATTCTCTGCTATGGACTGCTGTGTAGTTCTGCTTTAGGCCACAAATGCCAGGGGGCTTCAACCCTTCCTAGGAATAAGTGCTCTTTCATAATGAGTGGACAATCTATAAATTTGCAAGGAAAGCCCTGTAATTAAGGTGTCTAACAAAATGGAAAATATTTCATTATCGTCTTGGAGGATTGTATGGTTAATGAATATTCTGTTTTTAATTAATGAACTATTTTGATATTCTGTGTAGTATTTTTTTAGTATTATTTATTCTGAACTTATTTGCTCAAGTTTTTTCTATCTGGTCGCATGCAAGAGTGCAGTAATGTTTCTTTCTCGAAGCTTCCATAAAGGTCTTTCCAAGAACGTGATTTGGAAGGGTTTTAAATTCTCAATCTAATCTCTAGTGTAAGTTAGAGTTCTATTGAATCACAATGAATTACTTCACTTCATACTTTTATGTAAAAAACAGAAAATCACTTGCACCGAATATGCTCACATGACTGGAAATTAATTATTAATAATTGAATATATCAAATGGTATTCAAAAGTACTTGATTATAATAATTGAAAACATAATAATTTAGAACTGTAAATCTGTGCATACATAACGAGCATTACTTACAGTATGGTCTATATTGTCAGATGAGTGTTTTTGCAGCCAGCGCTTTCTACATTTTAACGTCTGTTCTGATATCTTTTAAGCACTTTGTCTTGTCTTCTTAATAGAGAAGAAAAAAACAGTTTGTAACTCACTGTGGCACTGTGGCAGTAAAGTTTATGAAGCTGGCCCATAACTTGCCAAGAGTTTTACTTTAATCTAAGAATTATTTAAATTCACTCTTGCCAGCAATAAGTCAACGAGGAAGTGTTTATGCATGCGTGTGTTCCATGGATGACTGTACCGCTTGATTTGGTATGAATCCTACACTAATAAACTGCTCAATATGATTAAAGCCTGCCAATTTAATATAACCTACTGAACCTCTTTCATCAATCAACTGTAAGTGACCCAGCCAAAAAGGAAAAATCCCAGCACTAAACTGTAAGTGCCGAATCACAGACTTCTACAGAAATGCATTACATGAGGAGATAAAATCTTTTCCACAAGCTGACCTTGAAATGTTTCAGGATTATTTAAAATGATTATAAACTTCAGTTTGCACTGGTTTAGGAGAAAGTATTCAGAAAAAAGAACATTTCTAACATATTACCCTACCTGGTTTAACTTTCCATTTTTAAATTTAGCAATAAACCCATTTTAAAACTGGAGAAAACACTTGCACAACTTTTATCATTTCTGTGATCTACAATAAATTATTTCCAAGGCTTCACTGTGGTTTCATTGTGCCCACAGCATACGCAGTGTCTTTCAGGCCTTTGGTCCATTATTTAAAAAATAAATAATAAATGCAAACCATACACTAGGCAAGCACAGAATTTGAAATGTCCATACTCTTCCCTTCCATGAAGTGATCAAGACCTTTCAGTGACACTAAGTTCATCCGTTTCCATTGTGTGGTGATGGTGTGGTGAAAACAAACTGGATAGGTTATAGCAAAAGTTCTGACCTTTACTCCCAAAGCTTCGCCTGATATAACAGCCACTGTCACTCCCTTCTTGCTGGGTTTCGGTATTTCTGTGCTTTTCAGCTCCTGATACTGTGGCTCTACCATCTTCTCTGAGCTTCTCAAATTCACCCAGAGCTGAAGGCCATGCAGTGGCTCGTCTGAGACAGGCATTTCAGCATGGACGATTCCTCGGCCTGCTGTCATCCACTGCAGCAATTGTTAAAGAGAGACGGAAAGAGCATTTTATTTCCCCCAATTTGCAGATTAAAATATTAACCAGCTTCAGAATGATAAGCAATTCCTTTCTTTACCATTGGCAAAATATGAATCTACTAAATGACACACATTTAAAAAGCTTTTGAAACTATTTTAACACTTGCCATCGGTAGGAAAAAAAGTTATATCGAGGGAACGTTTTACAGTTCGTGCGCACAAAATAAAGAAAACGAGGGAAAGATTTAGTTATTTCGTGCCCACGAATTGTAAATAATTTCCTCTTTATAAATTTTTTTCCTACTGTTGGCCCCTCCCAGGCTCCATACATCTTTGTATCATTTTTGTTTCTCATGAAATCTGTATGAATGTTTCCATTATCCCCTGAAGCTCTGAGTGTAGCATCAGCTGTTATTAATTTTTTTATGTTAAATGGTTTTTATGTTAAAAATTTGTTCCATCTTGACACTGCAGTAGAAAGGAAGGAAGTGCAGGAGCCTCAGGTAGCTTTGAGTAGCATGGGCATTAAGTGCTCATAAAAACAACTCACTTTCAAAACTACAGCAAGAGAGGAAAATTTTTAATGAGAGCAGGATATCACCATCAGACATGACATTTAAAAAGTTTAGATTTGCATAGCGCTATGATTGACAGTGCATCGTTGAATTAAGAAAAAACATTAAGAATATTTAAATGAGGTATACATTCCATAGCAACTGTCATATGGCAATGAAAAAATAAAAGGATCATTTGAGGCAGAATACTGCACTAGTGGCTCCTAGGCACTGAACCTTTTTTTTATCATTTTCATCCTGTGAGCCTTCCTGTCAGAAGTTACCCTGAAGCTGCTATAGAAAGAAGAGCTTCAGTCAATTGGTGGGCTTTCTTGTTCAATTAAGAGAAAGAAAAGATATCCACAAATCTTCAGGAATTTCCACTTCTTTTACAAAAATGTATGATTTCGACACATAATGAATTGTGTCTAGGTTATGGCATGGTGGTGCAGTGTTTAGCATTGCTGCCTTGCAGTGCTGGGACTCTGGGTTCAATTTCTGAGGTGCTATCTGCATGGAGTTTCTATGTTCTCCCTGTGCTTATGTGGCTTTTCACTGGGTGCTTCAGTTTCCTCCAAAAGTCCAAAGGTATACTGGTAAGTTAATTAACTTCTGGGAAAATTGGCCCCGTTGTGGGTGTATGCATCTGTTTTTGTGTCTGCGTGTGTCCTGCGATAGACTGGCATCCCATCCAGAGTGTACCCTGCCTGAGGCTCCTTTTCACCAATTACACGGCATTGGATAAAGCAGTTAAAACATAAGTCGATGGGAGATTCTATCCTGACATACGACTTTGTAGGACTGAAAGTTGTTTGGACATTGCCGAATTAGAAATTTTTAATCCCAAAGAAAGGTACTTTTCACACAGAAGCAAAGAAAAACATGATTAGGGAAAGAGTCTAAACTGAAAATGCATAGGGTGAGAGCGCAGCCTTGTTAGGGCCTCTTCCTGCTCTCAGTCGCCAGACCCGTTGCAGGAAGTCAGTTGCAGGATGTCGGCTGGTCAGGTGACTACCTGTATATAAAAAGAAGGAAGCAGAGGCTTTCTCTGTCAGCCAATGGATGTCTGCCATACCTATTCATGTTTGGGTGTGGGCTGTGTTGCTAACTGAGTGACTGAGTGACTGACTGACTGACTGACTGACTGACTGACTGGCATGGTTTAGGTACTTTAATGGGTAGATGGTAGAACCTTTCTGTCTGCTATTCATCGGAGGGAGAAGGACTAACCATGGACTGAAGGAACCTGTGAGTTTTGTGAACATTTTTTTAAATGTTTAAATGGCGAAGACTCACAGAGAGAAAAAATCTTCCAAACAACAAAGTCTCTGTTAAAAGTCTCAGTGGAGAGAGACTTTTGAGAAGTGTTTTTTGGAGGCTGGTAAGCAGTTTAGCTACTTGGCTGTAATGGAGAGGGACTTCAAGAAGAATTTTAGTTAGTTGCTCTGAAGGAACTTAGGCTTTTAGTTTGTTTTGGGTTTTTTTTAACCCTTTGCACAATGAAATAAAGCGCTCACTGGTGTTTTTTTTAACCTTGCAGCCGTGTGTTTGGTGTGTCTATTGGCCTGGACCTGCCTATTTTTAAAGATCTGTGTTATAATGCACCCAGTGGGTTAACACAATAGTTAGGTTTAAAATGTCTTAATCATGAACAACACTTGCCCAAAAGGCAAGTAGAGCTGCTAACACATGTGTATGGCTAAATTCCATACAGCACTCTAGCTCTGGCCATCTAAATCCCACCCCACAACCACTTGAACTGGTGAACTGGTTTCTTTGCTGTCCAACTAATCTGCTGTGGAGTGAGTTGATGGCACAGAATGGGTGCTTGTAATTGGTCCATATGTAAAGCACTTTTTGAACAATTTATTATGATTGATAAAGTTTGTGGCTGTTTATATATATATAGTATTTAAAACATTAGTTACAGAAATTGAAATGTTAGGTTTGAAAGTCTGCTATGAAGTCTCATAGGTCTCTAGAGTTTTACATACAGATATGCTGCAGTTTTGAAAATACTGTACTGCATGTTTGTATATTAAACTGCTAGTACAGTACTATACAGCTGCTTGTTACCTGTAAGTCTCCTGGCTTCAGTTTCCCACTGTGACCACAGAAATCTTCATGTGCTGAAACTCCTTGTAAAAGGTAAGTGACCTACAGTAGAGTATTAATGCAAAATGTAAATAACAAAAACAATTACACGAACTATGTAATTTTAAGGTTTCTATACAAAGATACAGAAAACACTGGTGATTTTGATAAATGCAAATGCAAAATACATTCACATCTGAGTACATATCAACATACAGTAGCAAATTGATACAAATATGAAAAGTGTATTTAAGCACAGCAGAACATATATGACATGCTTTATTTACTGTATTTCTGTATTTACAATTGTGCTCTTCTTTTTCCTTCAATAAGCCATTTGATACGTTGCAGAGCTCCACCACCACACTGATTGGAGGAACAACAAATGTATCATTGCAAGCCTGCAGTCGCCTGCAAGCCTTACATCAAGGCGGAGACATGTGGTGAATGAAACCAGGCCAAATGATCCCAGCCCTACCACTATAATAGTCATAGTGCTCTGCCAGTTGTACACCACTGGGTGAGCAATGCCAGTCACAGTAAGTTGGCAGCATAGCCCACAGCCACATTTTTCCTACTGTCTATAAACATCTGAATACCAATTAAAGCTAAAGAATCTAATCATGCCAGATGGTTTGCCAGTATTTTGATTGTCTCTGTGAAAGTACATGTCCAAATCTCACTTCAGCTTGTCTTCAGAAATTATTAATTATTTCATCTGTAGTAAAAATGAGTGTGCTTTACAGTGGAGTGGTAAAATTATGTTTATTCTTCCATTTCATTTATTAGCTTAGTTTATTGCTGGCCACACCCACTGTGCTCTCGATTAGAACAAGAATGGTGCAGTCAAAAGAGGATAAAACATTCCCTCTGTATACAAAGAGCCAAACGAAAAACCGAGATCAGCCAAACAGATTAGCCAAAGACATGGTTTACTTAACAGATGACGCATTTCTGGCTAACACAGTTCTTGTGTCATCCATGAACCAAAATCTGGCAGCTCAAAGACTTTAAAACAAATAACTTAGCCCAAGTTGTTCCTTGTTCAGCTGAGCAACATAATATTACTGTATTTATTCATATGTATTTTGCCTTGTTAATATGTTTTGGCTGATTTCTGGTTTCACCTTGACTGTTTTTATAATAGGGATGTGTTTTTATACTGGTTAAATTCACAAGCCCATTAGCTCTATTGAGATTTCCTCTATTCTTGTTAAATATGCCTCTTACCGCTCTACTGTGTCAGGCACACTTGGGGCCAATAATGTATTTTCAGTGGTCGCACTAGAAGTCTAATTTACAGGGTATATAAGGACAAAAGTTAGCCTAAAACTTATCAAAGATTAAAAGGTTAATGTAATAAAATGTGGTTGCAGAATCTCGAGTTATTCATGTACAAACATTCCTGAACAACATCACACTTATTTATAATCTTTTACAGATGTTTATTTAAAAGATGAACTGCAGCTGAAGCACAGCGTGTATTATTTGTACATTACTGTTTACGGGATCAAGATTATAAAATGGAGGCACTATTATTTTTTTGCCCTACTGGCTTAAAGTTACTTAGAGTTACTGTAGAGGAAATGGAGCACCTTAAAACCTTGAATCATTTACATATCTCAACAGATGAACCAAGTAAAAAAAACATTCTGGATACTGAAACTGAAGCTATAATTTGTACTGGATGGACCATTGTGGACCTTGAATTTTAAGAAATCAGGATAAACTCTCATACATTTTTTCTCAAATATAATTGCTGTTATTTAACCAATGAGTAAAGTAATCATATCTTTAATGTGTAGGATCAAAGCTACTGGTTGTTCAATAGCAAAATAGTCATACTGTTTCCCCAGTTATAGCACTACAAGGCATACTATAGTCCACTAGGGATAACAACATCCAACAGCTGAATGCTTTTTGAATGCTTGGAATATTTGGGGAAATAGTTTTTGCTTCTATCTTGGTTATTGGGCAACCTCCAGGCCACAGGATGTTGAGGCTCGAACCCCATTCAGAGAGAAGTGAACCAAGGGGCAGCTGCAAGGTTAAGGTGGAGTGGAGCAGGGTTGCTTAAGACAAATGAGAAGGGAGGTGTTTTATAGCTATAGCTAATTCCCGCAATGAGGGTGACTGAGAACAGCTGTGTCGGATTGACTTGTCGTTGTTATCCCTCCCAAACTTCAACTAATAACTTTCATTTCACTAGGGACAACAACATCCAAGAATTGAATTGTGAATGTCTGGAATATATGGCAAGATAGGTTTGGCTAAACTTCCTTGGTTAATAGGTAGCCTCCTGACCATAGGACAAGGTGGCTCGAACCCCAAAAATAAGATGTGTTAATCCCAAAACCACCAATCAAAAACTAAATTTGCATTGTTTTTGGAGTCCCATATTATAGTCCTTTAAATAATAAGGTGTCAACGACTTCATGCTTCCCAGAAATCATCTGGTAATGACTCTAAAACGCTGGGGTTCTGGGAAGCAAGCAAAGTCCTGGTGCCGGTGATGCTTCCAATTGTCAAGAACAGTTCTTTCCGGGCCCTATGCGGACGACACGATCCGGAAGGTGAAGAAACAATAGGGAAAAATATCATGCAGGAGTGGGTCAGGAGACAGGGGGACGTGTCCGAGGTGAGCAGGTGTCCAGGGGAAGTGAGTCTGGAGCGAACAATCCAAGCATAGATCCAAAAGTGGAATCCAATACGGGAGGCAGAGTCCAAGACCAGGGGATCCATCCAAAGTAATTAAAAACCAGAACCGGGTCAGGACCGGCAGGACAGGGAATCAGGAACAGGAAACTAAAACCATAACGGAGCGAGACGCGGCAGGACCCCGGGCTCTCACGAAACGGGATTCAATGAGAAGCGCCAGGCAAACGCCTGCGTCTGGCTTTAAAGGTGGAACTAAAGAGGGGCTGGGCAAAGGAACAGGTGTAAGCAATGGGGGAAAATGAGGAAGGGCTGGAGCGCCCTTAAGAGGGAGAGTAGCGATCGTGACACCAATTGTAGGGAGGAACTGCCATGTGCTGAGGTATTGTTGTGTTCCACTAGGAGGTAGGCCTGGGACAATGCTTGGATGGATAGGATGTTAGTATGCTGATGTCTAGTCCACGTCTGCTGGGTTTCTACAGGTGATGGTGTAGGCTTCTCCCTGGCTATGTATGTTTTAAGCCCTGTTGCATTGTGTTTTTCTTGTGGTCCACAATTTTGTACAGAACTGAAGAATTTCTGTACTTTGCAGTGAAGAATTTGTGTCTTTTGCAGTGAGTCACTGTATCACACGGAAAGGTCCCTTCCTTAGTGGTGCGACCTTGTTCCAAGAGTAGGTAGAGTCACTGAGCCACACTAAGTTCCCTTTCATTGTAAACATGACACCACTTGTCTGTATCTTAGTGGAATTTTTGTTTTAGGTAGCTTATCAGTCATTCCAATGCACGTGCAGTTAGAGGAACTTTAAGAATTTTAATAAAGACAGAGGGGCATTCTGCACATGTACTGGTGCACCTGAAGTCACTGAGTCTCCAAGGACGCAATGAATGGTTAGGTGTGTTTTACATCAATATGCAAGAAAAAAAGGAATAAAACCAGTGCTAGCATGAACACCTGTGTTGTAAGCAACCTAATGAAAAAGTGAGTCCCATTCAAGTTTGTTTTCTTAAAGGTGTTTTGCCAGATGATCTTTCATTATACAATCGAATATCTCAACCATGCCATCACTCTGTGGATGACATGATGTCATGCTTGTTTTCACCACTCCTATAAGATGGCAAAGTTGTTTAATTGGATCAGATTCAAGCTGTCATCCCTGATCAGTGTGAAGTACTGCTAGAATTCCATGTTCTACAAAAAGACAATTTGCAACTGTAGTAGGCCGGTGATCTGATATGGGATATAGATTGACATACAGTAGTTTGTAAAATAATCAATAATTGTGCCCTTGATTCTGTAATTTGCTCACATCGCACTATAATTGTTTGATTTTGTTCACAATATCATCCAGTATTCTATGAAGATCTTTATCCATTTCTTATCCTGTCTATAGCAGAAACTTCTAAACCCAGCTGTGTTGGGACTGGACAGATCTGTGTTGTAAGAATGTGTATTTGACAATGGTTTAGGAGCAATCATAAGCAAAGCCTGTTGTGCTCTTACACATTGGCAGGCAACTTTCCGGTGTTCAAGATGCTGAGCTCCAAATTCATGAATTTGTGACTGTAAAATAGGGTCAAGTCAAGAAGCGTTAAGAAAGTCACCTTCTGAGTATTAACAAAGATCACAGTTTTGATTTAATTAAGGCCTTAGTGTTGACAAAATTTAGCTTCAGTGAATATCTCCTAGGCACTGGCTGACCTGCAATCAATCAAACAATTAATACATCAATAATTATTTGGCGTTCTCTACATGTTCCATTTGAAAAAAAACAAATGAAATCTGGGACTATCTTATGATTGATCTGGTTTGCAGCTTACAAAACTTACAAGTTACAAAACGCAAAATATTTTGACATTCTCAAGGTCTTTTTGGTGGTTTTGAAAACTTTTATTCTTTAGCTACAAATTTAAATAAACTTATTTAGGCTATCAAGCCTGCTTACTAAGCCAGCTTTTTAATATTGCTTCCTAGTTTAATTGAAAGTTGTGCTATTGTTATATTGACATGTGGAAAACAGAATACATTCTGTAAAAAAAAGCACATATATATCAAGAGAGGATATCACAAGGTAAATGAGAGATTTGAAGTACAAGAAAAACAAAATCTCTGTGATATGCCTCTCCACCTAATACAAATTAGTTTTACAGAGATAGATAAATCACACATGTCCAGTACAAACTGTCACTTAAAAGATCTGAAATTGTATACTTTACAAGAGGAAAACATGAAGTCTGTAAAAGACTTTTTGGCTACAGAAGAAAAAGAAAACTGTTATGCTGCTAGCAGCTAATCTCTAATTTTTGCAGATGATCCCCATCTCTGAATGGCAACAGAGTTTAAACACACTAAGAAGTAATCAAATATGATCCCATATCTGGATGGCCTTCGAGTCCTGAAGCAATCTCCACTTTTGAAAACACAATAATCATGAAATCAAGGTTAGAGAACTCGTAGTAGTTCTGCATACTGTGGGAAACATTGATACTATTAACCTTGAACATCTGGGACTATCAGAAGCTTCTGCCAGGTGGCTAGCTTGAAACCTGAGCATGAAAGATCATCTCCTGAGAGGGCAGTCTTATCTAGTTACTACTGATAAGAGTTCTCACAGGGAATCTGAGATCAAGCCTGAATTAATGGAATGGAAACAATGTCTGAAAGAAGCACCATGGTCTCAGCTGGCAAGATTATGACAGGCATCTTTTGGAATTTTAAAAGGTTACTGCTAACTGATTACATGCCACACAAACCCGTGACCACTGATTCACATCTTATTGGTCTGAGAGCATAAACCCATCCAAGAAAAACAGCAGGGAAAAAGATACATGGTTTTTTTCAGTTTAAATAGGCCAGTTTACAAAGCCTCCATGTTTGATAACAGTATAATTATCTACCTCAATATATGAAGTCAGTTTTGTGTGTTTCAAGAAAGCTAACTGCATTTAAATGTTGTGACTACATTGAGAAATGATTGGTTATTAAAACATCTGAACTGCAAAACTATTTGAATGTCCTTCAGTTAAGCATTGTCTCCAGAGGTCTGTGATGAGTAAAATGTTTTTATTTAGCAGACAAACTCAACTATTTGTGATGAAGATATTTATTTTCATCTTTATTTCTGCAACTTCACATGAGCTACTTCTAGCCTTTAGCTGGAAAACCTAGCTGGAAAATTTGACACCGTGCAGAACCGAGTCCTCGAAGGGTGGTATATTCCCCATAGACCTTTCTTTCTGTGTTTGAAGCTTTATCCCTACCTAAGATGGCGATGCGTGCTCACAGGAGACAGGATGCCAGCAATCACTGAAGCAGGCAACAGTGCCAAACGAGAAGGATATGATGACGAGCAGGAAAAGAAAACTGAGAATTAACTCCACCAGTTCATCTTCTCAGCCTGTGCCCCAGCACAGGAGAAACTCTTTGAATCAATCTCCAGGCTGAAGAGCCACTCCTCTGTGAGTTTGCTTCTATAGTGCAGGCTGTTTGTTTTCACAGCATGAAACCTGGAAAAGCTATTTCCTATTACAGCAGCTTATTTTTCCCAGCTAAAAAGCCAGAAGAGATGTATTTTTCCCCACAACGAAAGGATGCTTATATATATATATCCTAGTGAGAAGAGCACTGTGACAGAAAAATGGCAAGGCTATTGTTAATATCACTTAATGAACTATTATTTTACTTTAAATCTTGTGTGTGTAGTGTCTGGGCTAAGGGCCTACAGTACCTAGAACCTTTGCCCCAAGCAGCATCAAAAAACACTAAGGCAGAACCTTGGAACATTATATAATAGTAGCATGAACTGTGAAATCTGAAAGAATGCAAAAGATTGTTCAATTGGCTTCCAAAGCATTATCAATTAGGGCTTACTACTTTAGCAGGTTTATAATACATACTTGCTCCTACACAAAAACATCCTAACAATGGCCTCACAGTGCTGTATAACAAAAGCAGATTCAAATCAAGTACTGTATGTCTCCCTTGTTTCTATGTTATACAACACAAACAATATACAAGATTAACAATAAACACTTACTGTTTCAAATCCTCTGTGTGGGTGGTCTGGAAACCCAGCGGGCTTGCAGACTTTAAATTCATCTAACATCAAAAAAGGGTCTATATTGCCAAGCTGTAATCAAAGATAAGATAATGAATTTAATAGCTACCACTACTGTATATGAGTAAATACTACAATCTCTCAAAGCTACACAGTTCACTATTATAATATCTAAATGTTAGTATTGAAATAAAAAAGTTAATTACAGCTCATGTGTAGCCATGTCCTGCACTTTAATTCAGACCGTAGGGGAATTGTACTTCATGAAATCTTGCCACTTTTGCGAGAGAAATAATACAAATTCTGTCTAAAACAAAAATGCTATGTGTTAAAAGAATGATAGCAATATGTAGTACTTTCCCCAATTTAGAATGTAACATATACAATATTATGCAAAGCATTCTGACCCCTACGGTTTTCACATTTTGTTGCTTTAAAACTTGCAGTGACGATGCTTCCAAGTAGTAATTAATATGTGTTAATTGTTTGTCTGACACCAGGTGTTTTCAGATGTCAGGTTTCAGAGGTGACAAAGGTGTCTGCACCATAGTGCTGTAGCTATACAATTACTCTGTCACCTCACGGTAAATAATCTCTTTGAACCCTTCTAGTCTGGTTTCAGACAGTCACACAACACAAAAACTGCCTTTGTTAAAGTTACTAACGATCTTCTTATATATATATCGATATCTTGCTGATTGCCAACACATTGTTTCTATTTTGGGTTTTAGGTCTGAAGTTGGGTTCGTTAAGTCTGGTGTTCCCCAAGGCTCAATACTGGGAAGTATACATTTAATCAGATATTCTAATCACATGATCTGAATTATCATTTCTGTGCTGATGATGCTGAAATCTATGTCCATACTAAACCCGACACTGAAGTAGCTGTCTCTGCATTCTCTAATTGCATCTCTTATATAACAAGTAAAGGTTTATCCCATAATGGAAAGAAAAGAAAAGAGACAAAATGTTGAGGCTGTGAAGTCTTCTTCAGGTGTCAGGTGTCAACTGACACAACATATCAATGTTTCAGATGTCAGCTGACACCTGAAGAAGGCTCCACAACTGAAATGTTTTGTCTCTCTTCTTTTCTTTTCAGCCTGCAATAAACCTTTACTTTTTCCTTTGCAGCCTACGCACGCTATCGCAGCTACCTAATTGAATAACTTTTTTTTAAGCTTGGCTGCCAAGGAATGTGAGTACTACAGTACCTCTTTGCGGCCGATGCTTCTGCGAACACGCGCGCCCACTCCCTCTGACTGTTCAACGCTAATGGCGGTCTTCACAACTTCTCTCACTCCCATTTCGTTAGACAAGGTTCTCCCCCTCTTCTTTACACCTGCTGATCAGAGGGTGCCTTACAGCGATGAATAGAGATGATGACACAACGGGGAAAAAAAGATGCTCGAATGAAGATATCTTTTTTCAGAACAGTCATGAATTACAAAAGCCTGCATGCCTTCCAGGGAGATAAAAAAAAAACACATTTCCAAATAGGTTTCAGTTATTTTGTTCTGCCTAGACTTTTGAAATTCCAATAGCAAAATTCAGCTGACCCCATAGTTTTAATAACAAGATATATAGACTAAAGATTATATTAATGGTTGACTAAATTCTCCAGGTCCTGTTTACAAGTGACATGCTAGGTATTTTCCAGAAGCCACTTACTGTTACACCTCCTGCTTTTATTGTTAATGTCTGTTCCCTGAGAAATTACATAATGTTGTTCAGTCAATTCAGTCCACTATAATGTTTGCCAGATGTATGCCATAACAATTTCTACAGCAGGGATACTCAGCTTCCAGACATTAAAATCTGCTCCATTCCAGAATTTTGATACAACCAGCTCCTTACTTGCTGTATTAATCTTGCTTATTATCGTTTGAATATTCAATAAACTGGTTAAAGTTGAGTTGAGGCTTGTACTGCAGCATGAAGAGAGGAGACAGTTACCTTTTCTGATTAACCAAAAACAAGAACCCTTGTCCTAATGGAAACAAATGAACACGATCAGAAGTTTCCCCCTTTATTACTAATATATATCCTAAAACATTAAATACTTTAAAAGTTCTGTAACGTCGATTACAATATTGACAGTATAGCTACGGTACATTATTTGATCGAAAGATTTTCAAGCAGCAAAACTTACCCGTCGTTTTTATGAAACAGTTTTTAAAATAATGCTACAGTATATTAATAACTATCAATTGAACGACTGTTTTGTTGTCATCTGTCGTAGATCGTGACTCAGCATTTTCCCTCTTCCTCATAATTTGCATATTAAGTGCCACGTGATTCCAGGTTAACTGACCGTGTTTTAGCTCATTAAATGAGACATTTAAACACGAGAATGAAAAAATTACAGTAACAAGAGTTATTCATACCCGAACAAGCTCTGATAAATTCAGAACATGTTGATAAGGAATTTATAAACATATTTATATCAGCATTCAACAGGACCATATACCCAAGATAAAAAGTATCTTAGTACGATAATGCGTTTTCAGACCTGAATTACTGTGCATAGTGACTGTTTTATCAGCGTTGGATTCTTCAGGTCGTTCCTTTCATCAAGCCATCCAGCTACATTTTCTTTACAGTCTGAGAAAAAAGGCGATTCAAAAATATTTTAAAACAGACTTTTTAATTTTCCTATAAACTAACAGTACATCCATAAATTTAAATAATAGTTACTGAACAGACTGATGTTTCTGTCGCAAATGAGAGCCAGCCAGCGTTAAGCACAGCCATATTGAGTTGAATCTGATCTTCTACATCTTTAACCTTTATGCTTTGTTAAATAATTTACCAGGTAGTACAAAACATACAAAACAAATAAAGCTACCATAATCATCTTTATTACATAAAATAATTCAATTAGATTCACCTTTATGGCAGTTTTATTTATAATATAAACAGCTTATCGTAGTGTAATACAGACTCGAGAAAGTGCATGGGACTGACATGGTACAGTAGTAGGTCTTAGTAAGACGTAATTACGAGACACTGCTTCCTCGTTGATGATAGCAGCATTACTTTACAAGAAACCAAAGCTGTAAAAATAACCTACAGATTTCTCCAGTCTGGTATGTGATTTCTCAGGCATGATGCAGTAATACTGGCTATACAGACAGCAGGGGCACCCCTTAATGTTTTAGTTGGAGTATTCTAGTAAAGCAGTAATATAATGCACATTATTTACAACACAACACATAAAGGTGCCACAATTTAGGCATTATTTTAAAATATTGCAGTGTTCCGCTCTCCCCTGGTGTTAAACTGCCCCACTTCCTTTACAGCCTTGACCCTGACTTGCATCTGTTTCCTCCTGCCTTACCCTAAGGGGGTGTAAGGGGGGTTCCCCCACACTTCTCTTTCTCTACATGTTGTGCTACGGGACTGTGCGGTCACTCTCACTCGCTGTCCCCCCTTTCTGTCTCCCCCCTAGTGACCAGCATACCCACTGTGAACTAAAGGGCAATAAACCTCCCTCCTGTCTCCAGCCTGGTTTCAGCAACAGGAGTTCAGTTCCCTCAAAGGGGGGGTTTATTACTCTTTAGTTTATAGTGTGAGTGCTGATCACTAGGGGAGAGAGGGAAAGGGGGATAGAGAGAGTAACTGAAGTGTACCCTAGCGTGACCATGTGGTTAAAGAGAAGACTGGAGGGAGCCACCTTATATGGGGTAATACAATACACTCTTAATCTCACATGAAAATTGATCATAAAATTTGTTCACAGTCTTTGTGAACCTAATCCATTTGTGGCTATGGGTTTAGAGGGCTTTGAAAAGTCTTTTCCGTTCAAATGGAATTTGTGATGATTTGTTTTCAGGGGGAAGACATTCATCGTGACCTAGTCTCACGATATCACAGCCACATTAGTCCATGCATCTGCCGAGTGTATTCCTCAGCTCGTGTTTGTGCTGCCAGGTGTCTGTCTGGAGCTGTGCTTTCTTCGCCAGCGGCTCGGTGCTTATTGAGAATGGCCTTCGCAATCCGCGCACTCGCTGCCTGACCTCCAGCCAGATTCACAGCATGAGGCCCAATCTGTACTCATAAAAACACAACAGGATTAAAGAGGAAGCAATGCTCATACGCACAACAGGATGATAAAACACCATTTTGCATTTTTAATCATTAAAGGAAAATGGCTTTTTGCAATTTAGAAATAACCAGCTACCCCCACTTACAAAAAGACAATAATTTTGATATACAGAGCTCATGTGGTATTTTTCATACTGGTGTTTTAGTCCCAGAGAATAAGGTGTGAGTCCTACTGAACCACCTTTTACCCTCTCTCCAGAGCTGTCTGATAATGGATTATATGTCTTATGAGTAATAACAAAAATACTATTGATAAACTTTCTATTGCACTCATGCAGGAAAATGTTCATATTCTGTTGTTAAGAAGTGCTGTACTTCAAAACAAAGTCGCAAAATAAAAAAATACACATGCAGTGAGATCATAAACATAACTAGGAGTTACACTATACAGTACAGTATACTGAGCTGCATGAGAAAGGCAGCAAGTGCAATTGGTTCCAATCAAAAATGTACTTAAAGTGCCCGCTATAGTATTTTCTACTACTTTACCAACTTTGTATTAAATGCAGATTAGGTTTAATTGTGTGCAATGAGTACAACAATTTCCCAAAGCCATGTGTACATTAAGTAAGTTTCAGAACCTGAAGTGCGGCATACTGTCCCATCAGGTAAAGGGCACAGCCAGGTGCCCACTGCAGATTCTCGGAGACTGAAGGCCAACCGTCAAGGACCTGTGACAAAGAACCCAGAAAACAGGAAGAACAATTTCATTTAATGACATGTCAGGCAGTTCATTTTTCCATACGATGCTTCTAATGAAATGCAACAAAACTATATAGTTACCTGACAAATATTTACACTGGTGTCTTAAATGAAGACTGTTCATAAATCATTTTGCTTTACTTTTCTCAGCTTTCTTTTGAAATAGAAATTTGGCAGAAGTTGTGCCATAATTTTTACAAAACACCTGAGTCCTCAACATGGCAATAATTTGAGAAACATTGCCACTAAAAGTAAAATAACACTGTGCTCCTGCCTTTTGCTGTTCTTCGGTAGTGGCATCATAAAACAGCAACACACGTATTTTAAATATATACTAAGTAATGGTTAAAAACTGAAACAAGTTCATTCTAGTGCACTTTCTGTCTTCTGAATCAAGCGGTCTAATAACATTTAGTTTTACTAGTGTTGTACCTGAATAGGGAACTCTTTAATGACATCGCTGAGTAAAGGATCTTGAGTGACATCAAGTTTACAGCCTGTAGCCAGCCAGATTCTCTCCCCTGTCCAGTGCTCACCACTGCTCAAACAAACATTCCACACCTGTCCCTTGTAAGACCACTTAGCCTCTGTAACCTTCAGATTAAAAAAAAAAGTACAGATTCAAATGGACAGTAATCATTTGCACATGACTGCATTACATTTCAGAATATATTCTCATAGAGTGAGGAGAATAATTACCTCATTACCTTTATGTCATGCAAAGCCTTTGACAGCATGGTCCAAAGCTTTCTGTCTCAGTCTCAGTCCTTGTTTAAACAGTGCCAAACTGCCTCTGGTCCTACATACGCCAATATACAGTATCATGATGAACCCTTCAAATGCAGTCTTACCTGCAGAAATGGGTCAAATGTGAAATTGGGCTGCAATCTATTGATTGGTTTTGCTTTCACTATCAAGAGCTTTGATTTCTAGGCACTTTTCCTGAACGATTTCTTTCCCAGAACCCACAACATTCACCATGTACAGTATTTAAAACTCCTTATGGTAGTACTGCTTTGTTCTTGGCCTTGAGGCAGTATGATAGTTTCTGATGGCTTGCCACTCAACCGCTGAGTGTGCAAACACCTTTGAGCACATGGGAGCATGTCCTCAAATAACCAGACCTTTCTGTGCCTGCAGTGGGCTACAATTCATCAGACCTGAATGCTTATCTTGTTCTACAATGTTCAATCTTGTCTCTTTCTAGCATAATGCAAAGGGTGGCTCTACAAGGTAATTAGTCTCAATTTATATGCTTTGCTTGGCTCAGGAATAAACAGATGTTTAGCAATCTAGATATAGCAATGTTATTTAGCTATAATGCCATAGGAAATGCCTGGAAATGCACTCACATATTTACATGAAGGCAAAATAACTAAGCACTCTTTCAGCCAGCAGTTGAATGTGGATATGTTATAAGAGGCACTTGATCACATTGGAAGGAACATTTAATGGAATAGTTATTCCCTGGGGATACTGGCAATTACATACTGTACAGTATCTGAGGTTAACTATTTTATTTATTCCAGTATGTTGGTTTCTGATGCAGTTCCACTTACATTTAAATAAAAAAAAACAATATTTCTTCAAACAGCTGCATTCAACCTAATGGAATAAGAGCCAGTTTTATTGATACAGGCTTGAAAAACATAATATCAATATTTGTTTTGGGTTTAAGCTTTGAAGAATTACAGTATTTTTTAATACCCTTTGGACGAAGTACGAAATGCTGGATGTTTCCCAACTGTTTAGAAAATTGATGTTCTTGTTGTAACATCTGTTTCTCTTGCTTTTTTATTGTGTGCCTGTAAGTATCTGGACCAGGTTCATTTTGTTCATTTACAGCTAACTATAAATCAGGGACCCACAGAAAAATAAAAGTTAGATGATTAAATTAACAAGTTTGTTTAAATAAAACAGCCATGAGAAATCATGTATTGTTTATTTTTTGGCGATTCAGCCTCAATGAAAGAGTGTGTCCTCTATATGGAATCTCAATGGAATTCTCTTTGTGGTTAAAGTGCAGTATAAATCATAATTTGAATGGAAATCTGTTTTAAAATTTTGTGGATTATTCAGCAAGCAATGGAAATATGAATGTAGTCATTCAGTCGTGGTTGTTGAAAAGCCTGGTATTGTCACAGTGTAGGCAGCTACAAGTACAAAAATTTCAGGACACGATTGGGCAGCCCCGGGTCCTGGAGAGTCACAGTTCATCAGGATGTGAAGATTTTGAACAAATGCTATTAAAATCACCTTAGCCAGTTAATTTGTCATGAAATGCCAGCTGTGGTCTCTGGGATCTTGGGTTTTCATTCATGTCCCTATTCAAACAATCCTTGAAACATGTCTTTAATTTAGTAATCTCAATAAGCCATCTCAAAGTGAGAATACTTAAGAAACTGATTTTTTTAAGGTGACTGTGGCCTGAAACAATACCATAACCTCAGTGAAGAAAGATAGCAGACTGGCAAAGCTTGCGAGCAACTTCAACATTAACTAGAATGGCTTTGTTTGTCAGATCTTTATGTTCGCTTTCCAAAAGTCTCCTTTCCCCAGCTGCCAGTTATCTGTTCATCTCTCCTTACTACTTCATCCCGATGACGTGACAGTTTCTTCAACACAGATGTCTGACTGGTGTCCTTTTCTTCAGGCTAGGATGAATAATACTTGGTGATAAAATTTCCACATGTGGAGCAGTGGTTAGCATCGCTGTCTTGCAGCCCTGAGGCCCTGGGTTCAGTTCCTGGGTTGCTGTCTGCCTGGAGTTTGTATTTTCTCCCAGAGTTTGCATGGGTTTCCTCCAGGTGCTCCAGTTTCCTTCCACAGTCCACAGGCACAGAGGTATGTTCATTGGCTTGTGGGGAACTTGGTCCTGGCATGAACATGTGCATGTACAGTATGCATTTGTGTGTGCCCTGCACTGGACTGGTGTCCAGTCCAGGGTGTATCCTGCCTTGTGCCCATTGCTTGCCTAGGCTCTGGTATCTCCCACAACCCCATACTATATAAAGCATTTATAAAATGGATGGATGGAAGTCCATGGAAGGACGTTGCCTCATGGGAATGCTACAGATGCTTTTCTTTGTCTTAGGGATGAAGGGCTCAAGAGCACATCAAGTGTTTATGATTAGAATTTTCCTGAAGGGTCAGTTTGGGAGTGTAGTCAAAGGTCTCTTCTCACGAGAGTTCAGTTGCTGCCCACTCTGGTTCTCAATCAAAGATCAAGATGGTCCACTGAGCATTGAGTCCCTGACTGCGCAGAAAGTTATATAGCTACCAGTAGCTATCCTTCCTGCTTCTCCTTTCTTGAAGAAAGCCAGGAGACAACATGCAGTGCCGCCGTTCATTGCTCCCACTGGTCACAGAGGCTTTGGCCTGCAGAACTACAACAGTTTCTGGTGGATTTGGCTTCCTGGGATCTTAGGTTTAGAGGGCACCAGAACCCTACAGTGTGGCATAAATGGGTTTGGACCCTCAAGGGTAACATCTGCTGACCTTAAATTTGTCACCAGCACCAGCTGTTATTACTATGATCCTTATATGAGGCAGCTTTACTTTCATAAATGCAAACTGTTTCATAAGTAGTCTGGGCCTGGGTCAGATCAGGGCAATTCACTTTAAAAGTGTATTTGGCAACCATTCCATTGCGTCATGTCAAGCTTGAAGGAGAGACCTCTGGAGCCCATTTATTGGCTGCCCAGGTCCTTTTGGGCTCAAGACGTCTCTACTATGGAGGTCCAGCCTACCTGTACAACACATGGTGTTAGACGCTCGCAACCAATCTCTTTTTGAGCCTCTGCTAATGGAAGCCCTTTATCTTGTCTATAAAAAGTGACTATTTGTTCTACAAAATGTGTTAGTGACTTTCAAGCACACCATAGGATTTTGTCAACTAAGGGCAGGCTCCAAGAACAATATTTCCCTTATTCTAGAACTAGAAAGTATGTGTAGTATATTATTTGGTCTACTAATATTTTCTCCAAATTCACATTTCAAGTCATGCAAGCAGCTACATACTGAGGTATGGTTTTGTTGGACCTTTGCATCCTGCTAAAATGAATGGCCACCATGTTCACTTTCAGAGTAAGCTGTGTCTGGCTGTGAGTAGAACATCAATTGCCTTTCAGTGTCCAGGCTGTGGAATGGAACTGCACATGGTTGGGGAGAAGGCCACACAGTATCATTTGTATCTACAGTATAGCAAGCGTGCAGCTTTTGAAATTTTTATCTTGTATTAAACGGGATTGCAAGTTCTCCTACACAAGGCCAAAAGGAAGCAGATAAAACAACAGTGGCAGTGGTCATTTCCCTTGGCAGTTTGTAATGTTTAATGAGGAAACCAGACAAGAACTACTCAGGTTTAGCAGCAAAAAACTTGATGAATATCTACACTGAAGCAATCTCAGAATGTAGTTACAACTGCAAACAACAATGCCCTCTAGTGTCCAGCCCTAAAACCTAACTAGCAGTGTGTATTGCTATTTTCCATTACAAGGGTTTGACAACAGCCGGAAGCATTCACCTTTGAAAACGTCCCTTTAAAATACTTGTTTGTACCACCATCATATTATTGATGTTTCTTGTCTTTGTTAACATATCTTACTCACATGCATTTAAAATATTTTGCTTGTTCATCATTTGTCACCATTCCAATAAACCAAAATGCTTTCTGAAAGCTGATTTGTCCTATCACAAACAATAAAATTTGTACGTACTGTAACCTTTTGCCACCCTTATTGTCACAAACGCCTACTGTCATAAAGTGTTTTTAACATGACAGGAAGTTGACAGTTAAGAAATAGCAGAAACAAAGAATTATTCAATACAAACATCACAGTACTATATAGGAAATAAGAAAAAATTAAATCGAATAAAATGAGTCTCTCTGAACAACTGGTTGGCAATATAAAAGCTTTCAATGGAAAAAATAAGTTCTGTTTGTCAGATCTGCAAGTACTGCTGTAAAATACTAGTAGTTTAAGAATTTAAAATGCATGATGCTGATCAACTGTTCGGGAGCTGACAACAAAAATGATGTCGCATTGTAAAAGTACCTGGCAGTAGGTTTTCACAGTCACACTTCCACTGGCCAGGAATGGCTGCAGGTGCTCGTAGGCCTCTGGGGTTACTGCACCTCCCTTTCTGGCGCGGCGGATCATTGCAAGACGCCTGTGCAGACTCCTCTCGTTATAAAACTGACGGAGGTATGCCAGCCCATCCAACTTTATGCCATGTTCCATGTGGGAGTAGCGTCCAATTAGAGCCTCGACATCACCCACATCAAACTGCTTCAGCTGCAAAAGAGTCAACATTTGGGGCGCTCCAGACAACATTTGGTGGTGCACGTCCCTCACACTAATTCGAATAAGCACACAGAGGTTTCAGCTGTGGACTTCTGCTTCTGAAGGTCTTTGATATTTGGTTTGAGTGTACCCTTCTAACAAAAGGCTATGTGATGCACAGCCAAAGAGCTGTGTGATAAACAATATTAGAAAGCACAGACTCGTTATCTTAAAAACAGTCATGTATATAATCTACATTGTCCCTTCCCTTTTAAAATAAATGAATGAAATAAAGGATCGGCAGTTACTTGGAAGGATGAAACCATTTGCAACGTGGATTAATTGCAAACACTGATATTTTCTAACAATAATTTTAAAAGGGGATGAAGTCTTGAGATGTATGTTAACTCTTGGGTCAATTTTTTGAACACTCAAAAAAAAAAACGTTTTGTCCAAGGGAACAAAAGATTTGAAGATGTTGTATCAATCATTATTTAGGTGTATAAGTACTACTTTACCATTAAATCTGGTTTAACGTTCACAAAAGTATGAGTCTTTCTATGTCTGAAAAACAAAGAGAACGTTCTTGACCACATTAAAGTTAATATGTTAGAATTATTGGTAATATTAACAGTGACAGTAAATGCAAGTCTCCTGTAATGCTGATGTAGTACGCAATAGTGAGAAAAGTTAGGAAAACCTACACTACCCAAGAACCAACGCGCGACTGTTTTTGCGCACACCTGTAAATGTTTTCGCATGACCCAGGTCACATGACAAGCTCCCTGCTGCAGGGCGAGGGAGATGACGTGCGCACTCGTCAGGCCTCCTCCAATCACCATCACCTTCTCTCCTCTCCGGCACACAAGAGGCGGAGCTGCAAAGAGAGCCGCGGAGCACTTTCTTTTGGGCTTTTCTGTCAGCGTTTAGATAGATAATACTTTATTAATCCCGTAGGGAAATTGATGAAACCATTTGCAACGTGGATTAATTACTGCTGCTGGGTTTCATAATGTACCGTCAAAGACTGCGTAAACGTAACAAATGTCAGCTAGAGTAAGCAATAGCATTAGGTATTGGAAAAGAAATTGAGTTTTTATATGATTATAAAAATTGTCAGTTAACGGCAAGTATAGTTTTGTTTGCGAGCGTGCTGTAATTCAACTGTTCCAAATCATCCAAACTTTTAGATGTATGCTTTTTATACAGTAGATTGTGTTACATTATTCGGCAAGGTTTGATTTGTTGAAATGACAATTATAGTGTGTGATGCACACATGGGCAAGACCTGTAGCTAGTTTCAGATTTCTGTACCACCATTGGAACTCAAGTTCGTAATTGACATGTACAGAATTTCTAGCTCAGTGTGCCTGTTTCTCATGCGTTTCATTATAGCATTTCTGATTTTTACATTCAGGTTAAAAAATAAGGTCAAAAACAGCCACGATTTTGATTTCCGTTCTTTATTTAAAAATAATTCAAGTTAATAAATCATGACCGTAATTGAGCCAGTAACTTGAGGAGATTAGGTGATTAGAAGAGGTGGAATCCACTCCTTGTTCACATTGAACTATTGAACTAACTGGATTAAGCTTGAATACATTTAAATTTAATACAATTTTGCTCACTAACCTCTTGTGTTTTGCTCAGGTTCCTCTATAACTGAAATGAATAAAGTCAGTACCATTTTTCACACTAACCTCTGGTGTTTTTCTCAGGTTCTTCTGTAATTGAAATGAATAAATTTGACACCATTTTCTCATTAACCTCTGGTGTTTTCCTCAGGTTCCTCTATAATTGAAATGAATAAATTCAGTACCACTTTTCTCACTTACCTCGGGTGTTTTCCTCAGGTTCTTCTGTAATTGAAATGAATAAATGCGATACCACTTTTTTCACTAACCTCTGGTGTTTGCCTCCGGTTCCTCGCTAATTCGTTTTTCTTCCTGTTGCTGTATGAGCTGCTGGCCGTGCATTAGGTGCACTGTGTGCTGGAGACGGTCCTCTGGGTAACTCTCACCGATTGCACTGACCCAGGAAGGAACATTGGCCATCTGGGTCCTAGTGGGACCTGTTGCCAGGACCACCTGCTTCGTCTCAATAGTTTCTCCACTCTGCAGCACCACTCTGAAGTACTGTGCCTTTCTCTGGTTGTCTGTCACTTGTAATGCAGGTGACTGAGTTCCTAAAACTGGAATAATTCTCTCCACTGTTCCTTTGAACAGGAGGTTTTCGAGGTGGTATTTGCACACCTGGTCAGGACAGAAAGAAATAATTTAAATCTCATTTCCAGGAAAATAAAGTGTCATTTCTTGCTGGAAAGCATTAACATCCTAAAATAAAAAAGGGTGAATGAAAAGTTAATGTTTCCAAAAGAAAACATTAATTGTATTAATTTATTTTGAAAAAGAACAAGCATTCCACTCCCAATTAGATATTTGTCATTAGTCAATATGATTTATTTCTCAAAGGTCAAACTGCCCCATGCTGTTGTGTAGATAAGCTGCTTCACAGTATGAAAGTCGCTGCAAGGCTGGGACTAATCTGGTAGACAGTGCAGAGCAGGACTATAACTTGTATGAGACACCACTCTAGTTTTTTGTCTAGGAGTCTTGAAACTGTCTTATGTCTTATGTCTAGAAGTTCTGCAACTTGAAATTACTTCACAACCACCACGCATGGCTCAGGGTTTTGTGAGGACGTTTGTTTGGTCATATACAGCACAGTAATATGGCAAGCTGCCTTCTTATGAGAAACCAATAAGTGCATTGAAGCACAACTGCGTATGCCTGAGGCACATTGAATTTTGTTTTAAACTAACCCTAATCCTAACCCTAACCCTAACTTCATATGAAGCTACTGCAGTAAAACAAACAAAAATTAAGTCTGTGTGCATTGATTTCTTGATTTAACGATGGTCAAATAAAGTACAACTAATGAAGTACTATTCATTAATAAGATCAATCCATACTGTAGATGGCAGAACTGACCATATAACAAGAAATACAATCCTCAGTTTTATCTGTTTTGTAGGATTATCTCTAACAAAAGCTAAAGTCAATCTAAAATATGGGTTTACGGTGAAAATCTAAAAAAAGCTGAACAATTTTATATGGTGGGGTGAATATAACAACTTACATTATTTTAACATGGCAAAATATTACCCAAAACAAAAGCTGAAATTCTATACTTTTGCTTCATGTAAATCTTTTAATCTAAAATACAAATTGTACTAGTACAAAACAAAAGTTACAGGTTAGCTTCACTGTCCTAATTCATATACTTTTCATTGTATACCGTATATAAAGGATTGCCTTAATTTCACAACTCAGGTGAGTCAAAATCAAAAGAAGTGTTTATGCAAATAAGTGAAATTCCCTGGATTGGCATTCATAACAAAACAAATAATCTTGAACCTACAAATGCGATAACACATGCTGGGGCAAGACCACTGTCAGTTGAAGATGAAGTGCTGTTTATAGGAATGAAGAAAGCAGATTTTTCTTTCTAACAAATTGCTAACGTAAGAAAATATTTCAAGAAGCTTTGAAAATCACATACTGTAGGCTGATTTCAAAACCGCCACAGCTCCTTTGCACAAAGCAAACAGATTTGCCTAAAAACTATACTTTTTTAAAGAATCCTGCAAAAGAAACCAAGGAACACTATTCTTTTGGAAGGTAATTGCATAAATACTTAAGTAGTTTATTAGTTCAAATATATTATGCATGTTTAAACATAAATTCTCACAAAAAGAAAAATGAAAATAAATGTGTAAGCAGTCTCATGCACACTGTTAGTTAAGACTTAAAACACAGTAACAGTTACTGAAATAACATGCCACTTAGAATAAGAACACAGCAATGAATCAGTCCAGTCATTCTGACCAGAAAGCAAACCAGACCTGTTCCTTAAAGAAGTCCATACTGAGTTTTGTCCCTGGCAAGCTGAAATACAAATGTTTCCTAAGGCTGGTGTTAGTTGTAAGCTTCTTCTTGTCTTTCTTGCCAAGACGGTTGTCATTGAAAAAGGCATTTTCATCATCAATATAAATTTGTTCTGGGAGGTACTGTAGTTCCTTAAAGCGTTCATACTTTAAAACAAATTCCTGCAAGGCTTTCTGTGGAAACAAAAATAACAGAAAAAACATTATTGCCAACACTTTTTAATTGCCTAAATACCGTAAATTCAACTACTGTAGGTAGCTGTGTCAGTCTGTCATAGGGATTCCAGGAGTTATAGTCCTACTCCAGACAGACTTCAGAAACCAAGATTATCCTTGATCTTGGATCACACTTTCCTACTTCTCTCAGACTTCACACCTCTACCTGTTACAGGCAGATAATCTCAAACCATAATCTAATCTATTTCCCAGTGAATCTGTGGACTCGAAATGACCCACTTTTTTTTACGCTGTCACCTCTCTTACTTTAATTTATTACCAAACCGCACACCAGTTGTAAGTAGTGTTTTGCATTTAATTTATTTACAATATATAGTTTAGTTTTTATTACAATAATACTGTAGTATGCACTTAAACATTTAATCCCCATAAATTAATGTTTCATGCCCCTATCACATGAATTACAGAATCGATTTTACATGGCTACCCTACACGCTGCACTAAGAAAAGTAATGCGAAAAGTGAAATTGGGCAAATCTCATATCTGACAATATTCTCATTCCATGTGCTGTACTGTATATGTACAAGCAAAATGAGCATAAACATTATCTGAAATATTTTAGCTTCAATAAAATAGCTCCATAGCCGACAGATGTATTGAATGTACAGTGGGCGATGCTACCTTGTTCAGCGGATCTGTGTGCACCAGAGTGTGCGAGCGCAGGTGAGGTATACCCAGTGCTGCAAACTGCCTCTCCCACAGGGCTGTCCACTCTCCATAGTAATCCACCACTTTCAACTGTAACGGAGCGTATGCCATTGGCTCCGCGGCCGCCGCATACTCGTCGGCGTGACCTAAAACGTATGCGAAATTTCCTCGTAAAAACATGCTTGGGATTGTTTGTTTTTGCGCTGGATGTGGCTTTTCAGTGTTGGAATTGCAGCTGCTTTCCCAATTTTGGAAATACTCCGCGATTGTCCTCAGATGCTGTTCGTTTAAAGCTGCAAGAATGCTTGACAATTCTAAGCAGCTGTTAGGTTGTAGATTCAGTTTTCAGTGAATCAGGCTCTCACGCTATTTACAGTAGTTGGATGAAAGCTTCACACAACTTAGATACCAGCGACAAAGCGAGCTACATGATCCAAATGGCTTCCCTCATATGTATTTTTTTTCTTATCTTCTTCCTTTGTTTATTTGAAACAGGATAAATATCTATATTTAAATAGTCCTGGTTCAGTGGAGTTTGGTGTATCTACAGGTTTTCTATGTCTCATTAAAACATTGAAATGTGATGAGCTCGAAGAAGACACTAAATTAGTCCAGTTAAGCTAATATCAAGTACCTTTAGGTTATTAAAAGCTGATCTGGAAGGAAAAGCTGCAAATAACAGCACTCTTCTAGGACTAGGGTATCACAGGCTCAGAGTACTGTAAATCCTAGAGTTAGTGTCAAGATCTGGGTTAATGTTAGGAATACAATTATGGCTAAAGTTAGGGTGAGCATTTCAGAATGAATCACAAAAATAGCTCATTGAGAACTACAGAAAATGTTTTTTTTTCTTAAGCACCCATTAATCAGACTCTTCAACAGCTTCCACAATCAAAGAGAAATAAATGTATTCTATATCTGAAATATACGAGTAGTTAAACTAATCCTGTGAAGTTTGACCACGCTTTAGAATGGCAAATTACGCAAGTGTTATTTTTTTATCAAAATAGGTTTTGGTTCTTTTTTCCCCAAAGGGCCCTCCTGGTTGCCAACCTGCGTCACTTGCCCGGTTTTTCTATTTCTGTTGTTGTTTTTCTTTCTTGTTTGTTTTCTGAATACAAAACAAACTAGTTTTGTACAGTATGTGTCTTTACAGTGGCTAAACATGCATTGAAAAACAGACACAAACGATTAGTCATTATTCTAAATAAAAACAAAACTGCGCAAGCATGTGATGCTCACTGGTGGAGTATCTTCCCCTTTTCTTTGGCTTTCCATTCTTCAGACGGCTTTTACTCAAAACAACACCATCCAAAATGTCTGTATTCGTGGGCACGGTGTGAGAGTCTGAGCTGGTTAACAGGGAGGCCAGGGTCAAGGCATGAGGCCCTCCCCCTATTATCAGCACGTCCAGCATCGGCAGCTGTGAAAGCAACACAGGTATGCAGTTGCCATAGCAATGAATGATCCTCCGGGACGTTAAATTCAAAACTCAATTTTTTTTTATTTTAAACACAAACAAAACTTAATTATTTTTAACTTGCTTACAGTATCCTCTTTAGAATATACCTGAAACAGACAGTGAAAGTAAGATATGCAAGTTATTTTTTAAAAATAAAACAGTTTTGTCAAAATAGTTCCCAAGCAGCCATGTGTATTTTGTAATTATTTTAAAGACAAAATGAAATACAATTTGCAGGAACATGGCCTTGCTTTGTTTAATTAATGAGAAAATCAGTAGAGTGTGTTGAATAGCTCATTTTTGAACAGCTTCCTTATAGAAAAGTGTGGCTAGTCTACCTTGAAAGATGAAAAGAGTTCTGTGCAAGTTCCCAACAATCATATTATACTGTAGTATTATAGAATTCTAAATAAGTCACATTTCCACAGTGTCTCCTAAAGTGAAATTAAAAATATTATCTGGTTATAATTTAGTGGCTTTTTAGTCCCGATGCAAAAAATGAATTAATATTTCATATTTTTTTGTACTGTTCTACACATTAAAGCTTCTTTTAAAGGTAATTGATAATTCTTTGCTTTCATGTCTACATCAACTACTGATATGCATGAAATAATTACTGTAACAACCAAGAGTTAACAAAACAAGATTTGTGTTTTTATATTGCTGTTCAAACTCAGATCAACACAGTCTCAATTTACAATATTTCCTGAAAGATACAGTATGCAGACATTCACATATTGTGTTCAGTTGAAAATGTGAAAGTAATCTGTGCATTTAGGAGATTACGTGTGTTGTTTGAATTCATAGGTATGAAAACAACAGTTTTCTTAGAAAACTAAAGCAAGTACTATACCTGGAAAGTGAAACTCTAGCTTAGAAACAGAGAGGAAGATATCATCTGAGAGATGAAGCAGTATGTAGAAAAAGAAGAAGAATAGAAAACTCTGAGTTAATCCAAAAAGTTCATCCAGAAAAAAACTGCAACTGGTGCCTGTCTGTGATAGACAAGCCTTAAACTGCCCACAGTATTTCTATACATAGTTCTGAATGCCATGTCAGTAAGAGGGCCAGGTTATAAATAGATGGGCCACTGAGTACCACTACTTAAATTTAGTACCACTCTCAACCTTTTCTTCATAATCAGGAAACTAATAACAGCAAATAAACAAATTAAGCTGAACGTTTCATGACATTTAATTTAAAGGCATTTCAGGTTTCCTTAAATAATTTTCTGTAACTGCCCTGGCTGACAATAAACTTCTCTGTTACATGTAGATAGAAAAAATATGAAGATACAAAATGGGGAATACTGATTTTGAAAAACACTCTATGAAAAATACTTTGCTAAAACATTATTCACATATTCTAGACAATTTGGGAAGTAATAAAAAGAGGGAAATACAGAGCTAGATTATTTATATAAAAACTTTTAATTTAAATCAAAGTGAAGTTAAAAAAAATAAATCCACTGAAGGAACTAATTTAGAACATTATCTACATTTGTGGTCATCATCTGCTTATAAATGTCAGATGGTACAACAGTGAAAATGTCCCTAGTTCAGCAAAGGTGTTTTTCTAGGAAGGTAAACCAAACATGATGTGGCTCACAATGGGTGTCTGTCAGGACTGGTAGACAGCTTTGATGTGTATGTAAATATTTCTTTGACTCACTATAAACTGGATACAATGCACCTTTGTGAAGTTTATCATTAATCAGTAGATGAACAAGAAAACAGTGGATATTTGGAACTAGCTCTCTCAAAACGAACATGGTAACTGATGTTGTGAATATCTGTGAATCGATTTAGAAGCATAGAGAAAAAATACTGTTTGTAATTTTAGGTAAGTTTTCTTGTTTGTGGGGTGGAGGGATTATTTACCTTGGTCTGAACTGAATTTCAGAACTTTGATAAAGGAAAACAACAGGAGCAAATATGATGTGGCATGTATTATGCTAAACCAAACCCTCAGTAAGGGTCATTGAAATGAAACAGAACTCACAAGAGTATTGCTGGTCAAGCCATTTATAATACACAATGTTGTAAAAGTTACACATTGTTTGGTTACATTTTATATGTGTATAGGCAATAATGTTGATGACAATACTGTAGAAAGAAAAATAGTTTATTTTTATCATTGTGTATGCTTGTTTTAAATAGTTTGTGAATTAAACAAAACCACACAAAAAGTGTTTTTGAAAAAACAATACTTTTGTGCTGATGAAATCACTATACCGTATGTATTCTTCTAAATATTGACCCAGATATGCATGTTATTTGGAATGAACCTATTTATAATATAAACTGTGTGTGGTGGTTACAGAATATGCCTCCTATTGAGCATGGCCATCCCAACAAAAAACAAAAGATATTGACTTTTTTTTCAATTAAATACATGAGTAAATATTTGATGTTTTTTTTGTGTAGGACCTTTTGACTAAGATGTGGTGATCTTGAAGTATCACTTCTTGTTTATGTGTCGTGCGTAACTCTTTTCCTTTAAAGGCACACTAGTCTTATTTTCATTCTGAGTGCTATTTATTTTCATTTGTTCCAGCCACAAAAATGGAGGCTGCCCCGATAAAAGAAGAAATTCTTCTCAAGATGTCACAGCAGAAGAAAAAGATGTCGCCCAGAAACTACAAAGAAAGGCTCTTTGAGTTAACAGAAACAACACTTTCCTATTATGAGCATGATAAAGGGGTAAGCGATCATTCTATTCATATTTCAGCACTACATCAAGACTGAGATGACTGAGAAAGTTGTTATCTGCATTATGTTAAAAAAAATTATACTGAAAGGATTGTTATTTAAAATCTGTGAATGGTTTAGAGATGTGCATACAGTATTAACTGTGAAGTGATCCCAGAGCTGCCAACAATATTAAGATTGGGTCTTACACAGATGACAATCAGGGTGAAAAGGAACTTCCACTCGGTTTTCTTTGTTCTTCTGGAAGTGTTTAATGAGCAACAACAAATTATTTCTAAATTAAAATAAATGCAGCTGGCGCTACAGTAGAACAGATAGAGCTATCCCTAAAATCACACAATTATGAGCTTCATACAGTATTTCCCTACTGTAGACATGCACAAATAAAAAATAAAAAATCAGGTCGTAGCTATGAATAATTATCACTGCGTGTGTATCATTTCCACATTTCTTTCAGTTTGGTCCCTTGTTTTACATATTCTGGTGTGTTTCTGTACAGGAAGCAGTTCCTCAAAGGCCTGTCATTCACACCTTTGAGGCAAAGGTGTTTACATCCAGATCTCAGGATCTACTGTATGTGTCTATACATGTAGGTTTCACAGGTAGACTACCGTATATCATTAAGCACTTAAATCCTAGAAACAATGTTTGATCTGTTATAAAGCACAATCAAATACATTTTACTAAGGGTTATGATGGGGCAGAAGTCTAAAGTCTATCCAAAGGATATCAGAGAGTCACCTTCCCTAAACTCTTTATAATCTACACTCAAACCCTTCTTCTTTAGAAGGGTCTTTACTTGACTGGTTTTGTTCTGTAATGCTTTGCTCCTACCCTGTTCAGTACCCTCATCTGCTGTCTCCTCTCATTGTGTATTTCCGTTGTGTATATCTTGTGTATTTTTTTCTTTTCGTTTGTTGTTGTCGTTCTGTAAAGCGCTTTGAGAAGCCACATTTAAAGGCAATATATAAAATAAAGTTTCTTAAAAAGCTCCTTTGATCCCAGAAAACAGGAACTGGAAACCGAGCCAGTACATTTTCTCCTCTGCTTCTGCACAGTTGTGCAGATGGTAACTTGTGCAGGCAATCTGTTGACACGAAACAATGAGACAGGAAAGAGCGTCACACCTTGTGGATGGCTGGTAAAGGCAACAAAAGGGAGCGATTGAAATCTAATTAATTTGCATTGTCCCCCGTATGCTTTTCCAGCCACCAGTAAGTCTTCCTGAGAAAAAACAAATTAAACAGGCAGCTGACCTCTCTACTTCTTGTTCTGTTGCGCACGTGGTGAACTGAGGTTAACAGCTTTCAAATCTTGTGGTGATTCTCAGAGTGTAAACTTTAAATAAATATATTTTTTCAAATAAGGAAAATATTTTCATTCAGAATCTTACGTCTGTTCATGTTTTTGATGTTTCAAAGACGCTATTCTATCCCTTAGCTGGACAGGTTACACCAAATAATTTCAACAAACAGTACAGTATTAATCTCTCTCTCATATTCAATAGAAACTAATTAAAATACTGAATTACATCTGATTTTGTAGTTTCTGGATGATGCTAAAATAAGAACAAATCTCTGTGTGAAGTGTTAGTGTAGTACATGTACTGTATGTCTTGGTGCCAAGAATATTTTTCATTGTCATTCTGTAGTAAATGATTATTAGTCCTTTCTGAATGCAATATTCCATTTATGCAAAGATTGACTTAAATGAGAAGAAATCACACAGAAAAGGATCTTCAAAAGTATGTGGAATATATGCAAATGATATCAATTAGGGTGTTTTTGTAATATATACATTTCATATACGTATATGGTGGGAATACACCCACGGTTATTTAGAGCCTTTAGCCTCCCTCCATAAAATTATATCAAACTATCTAAAGACCCATCTAAAGTAACCTTTGAAACAGCATTTTCCACAGCTAAGATTAAGGATTATTTTGAGTCACATGGGGCTAGCTCATTCCATCGAATCCCGGATGTGAACCAAAGATTATGGAAAAAATGCAAGAGTCCACATCAACAAAGCATTCCGTTTAGAAAAGTGTTATGGTAAGGTGTCAGGAGTATCAACTAGATTTATATGCAGAAAAATATCTAGTGGCAGGACCCCTACCATTTCTGTCTCTTAAAGGGCCGAAGCATCAGTGTCATCACTACCAAATAGAACAGATTTCTAGCGTGCTAATGACTGTCCAGGATTTCACAAACGATAAGTATACAGTATGTTAAAGGACAGCACTGTGTAGTTAATATTTTGACTTTACTGGTATAACTACATTTCTTGCCATTAGTCATATACTACTTTAATGTGAACAATAAAGAAGCTTTGTAAATAACTGAAGTGTCTGTATTACAATGCCCACTAAAGAAAATTAATAGGATTATGTACTGTTATCTCAGCTGTTCAAAAATCTTAATAAGAACAAACTTCAAGATAATGAACATAGCAGATGGCTGGTGTTAAAAACATACTGCAAGAATGTAGGACTAAAACATGGACCTGGGGCAATAATAAATAATTACGTGGTGCCATAAGTCTTTCTACACACTGTGTGTAAATAATTTGCACATGCCTACTGATCCATCTGTGGTTTTGTACGAATATTATATGAAAGAGCCAGCAAATATTGTTTAGCTGCACTAATCCATATCAAGGCAAAATGTATCAAATGCAATTATGAGGTAACAATTTAGGAAGGACTGAATAATTGATACATTTTTTATGAACTTGAGATAATATCTTCTGCATATTAAATATCACAGTACAATGCTACATCTCTAATTACTAGATAGTTCAAGAGATACTATAAGTGAGCAAGCTGATCTGTTTGATATACAGGTTGTGAAATGCAATCAAACATAATTGGAAATCATAGGAGAAAGATTGTCGACTGGCTATAAGAAACTTTATAATATAATAGGTTTTGTAGTAAAATGTACTGACATTGATCTTTTTCATCTCACAGAAAAAAGGAAACAAGAAAGGAACAGTTCTAGTTGAAAGAATACGCTGTGTTAACACAGTCCTTCTAGAGGAACAGACTCCTGTCCAGAGACAGTATCCATTTCAGGTATTTTGTTTTGGTGTGGGAGAGGGGGTTGGTTGAAGTGAATGTACTGTAAAGAAATATAAAATGTGTGTGATCATGAACAGTACATAGCCATAGTTGAATTCCTAAATTCTAATGAAAATGCAGTAATTTCAATGCTTATGTCCAATTTAGACTAACAGTAACAGCTAATGTCCCTTTTAGAGAGAGCAGCAGTGTTTGTCTCAGGGAGTCCAAAAACTTTTGAGCATGATGGTGATAAGCCAAATAATCTACATCTTTACTGCAGAGGCATTTCTGCCCCTTACTCCTGTTGGTAATATTGTTTTCTTTTCATTTCAGATAGTGTATGATGAAGGAATTCTGTATATATTTGCAAAAGATGAAAATAATCGAAGAAGCTGGTTGGGAGCATTAAATAAAGGTACAGTATTGATAAGATGTGATATGCGGTATATATGTGCAAAGTGACCATTAATTGTGTGACATACTTGACAAATAGATGAATTTGTACTGAGAACACACTATTAAACTTTTAAAGATATGATGGATTTCACATTTATTTCTTCCATGCATTTGAACAGATTAGGAAATATTTTTCTTGATAATAGTGATCTCTTTTACCATTTGGAAACAAAAATAATCTATGACACAGATATAGACGATGTACTAATCAACTGCTTTACTGTGTTCTTGTGCAGATTGCTCAAAAAGCAAAGTATACGTTATCTAAAAGTAATACTAAAAGTATGTATCTAAATGTTTGAGAAGTGACTAGCTAGAGTTAATTTTGTTCTGGAAA